CGTAGGAGAGCTGGAAGAATGCATGTATGGACTTTGAATTGTAGGAACTAACTTTGCAATGAGATTACAATTCGGCAAATGACATCATCCCCGTCTGACCGATTACATATCGGGTCTTCGAGTCACACAGTTGATCCGACCCCGTCGTTTAGTAGAGGTTGTGAGATCTGCGACGGAAATAAGTTGTCATTTACGAAGTCACGACTTCCCTATTTACCGTCAGTAAATTCGCGAATAGTCGAAAAACGCAAAGTCAGGTCGGTAATTAATACTCTCGCTGCCGGATACCAATACTGACAGCGAAATCGGTAATAGGCAGCGAAAGACAAGTTCAATAAAATCTTCGGAGCATTTAAGGCCAATTTATAAGCTTAAAAAGCGTAAGTCGCAGCAGCTTTGTCATTGATGATTATCAACGAAGTTAATGACCACATAAGTTGCAGACACGATTGCCTAGGATGTCAAAGCATACAAAGGATTGCGATGGAAATGCCTCAAGAGACAAATTCTGCAATGGTGGACATGACATGCAGAACTTCAACTATGAAACGAGGGTTGTGAACGGGAGAGTCTACATCAAATGCGTAGAATACCAGTCTCGCGGGAAACCTCATGTATTCTGGGTTTTGTTGAGGGATAGAGGGGAGTAGAATGAACGGTAAATGTGGCACTGTCCTTTGAGAAGTTGTGATGCAATGTCGTAGCTATGACGTAACGCAGGCCTATGCAACAATGTGACAGAATACAGTAACTTACACGAGGACGTCGCAATATGTATAATGCGATAGGTCAAATGCAACGAAGTGAGATGTAGCAGCGATGACTGACGCGTCAAGCGAAGCCGAAAGGGCGGCGGGCCGCCCCCGAAGCGCTAGTAGAGTTTATTGTTAGAAATGAGATATGCCACGGAGGTAGTGTATGCCCTTCCTGTCAATGATGATCATGTTCTGATTGCACACAATCATTAGATTATGCCGCTTTTGCCAACTAAGACACAAATACAGTGTGCTACCTTTCTGACCGGGGTCTGATGAGTAAATTTGGAAAATAAGCTGCAATATCCCGGAGTCTCTTCTTTAAATCAGGTGTGGTCCTTGAGTCCCATTTGAAAGTTCCACTTATCAACACAGAAAACCAAAACAACAAGCAGATGAGATGTATCCCAGTACAAGTCAACACCAAGAAAGAGAGCCAGTATCATAGACTTCCATGGAAAGTGAAGAACATGGGCCTTTATCTGAATGATGTACAACATGCTCCATCCTTGACTCAGAGATATTGGATGCAAAACTTCATGTATTCCTTGCAAGTGCCACAGCCTGCAAAGAATTATTCTAGAGGATTCATTTTATAAGCTCATGTATTTGCAGCTAAATAGGTAATTGAATCACTCTTTGGAAAAAAAGTTTTTATGGAGAGTAGAGCATAGATCCTGGAGTGAACCACGAGTATCATGGCAAAATTATATGAAATGCGTGGAGCCCGTGAAATATGACAATTTTGTAGGAAACAAGATGCAATGCAAGATTTTGAACTGACTGTCTAAAAGGAAAGAGAAAATGGTTTTAAAAGAGAGTGGTACGTTATGTTCTTGCTGGGCAATTTCATTCGAAGGTATATTTCCGAGGTGACAAAAGCTCTTAGCGTTGCGAATATACGGCAAAACGTTGAGGGTCATAACCTGGTTCACCTTCGCTGAGAACGATGTTCTGATGATAATCGTGCAATGAGAAGCTGTTTGATAGGGGTCGAGGTCTTTTAGAACCCGCCCTCAATAAATTACGGCGCACAGTAACGGAGAGCCTGTCTAGCTTAGTCTGGAGCTTGTTGAGCATCCCCTGAGCTTTTAATAACATCTCCGGAACTTTGATTGGGGCGGTGTTTTCCAGCTTTTGATAGTATTTGGGATTCGATCAGTAACTTGAAGAACTGACTTTGTTGTATGTAAGCTGGAAGTTCACTCACTTTCAGCCGCCTTCCCCCTCGTACTACATCAACTTGAACTTGCCCCGAGAGCAAGTCGCTGGACCTCAAAGCACCTGACCCTTCTAGGGGGGTAAAGTAGTCCGACCCCGATGGTTCCTTTGTCCCAAGTTTACCAACTTTGCCGATGTCTTTGAGCTTGGAAGCATCTGAAAACTGTTCGACTTCGTGACTAGCGAACTCGAGGGCCCGTTTCGAGAACCGACTAAAGCTACAGCCTTCCTGTGAAGTGCGGGTACAAGGAACCACAGGATGTGCGACGACGGGACTCGTGAGGAAATTACAAAGCGTCATCACAAACAACAAGATCTGTGTATGGAATGGAGCATCAGTGGAGCCGTAATGCAAGCTCATGGATTTCACAAAACTGCGTACGGTGCATGTGTAGCTTGTTATTGATGATAGATGATGTCGGGATATCATGGACCTGAAAAGCGAAGTCGTATGTTGGACTCGCATGTCGTGATGGTAAGGAAAGAAATTAGACTAGAGCCAGGTATGAATCGAAAATAGTTTCAAAAGGAACGAAAGGTGAAAGAAGATTTCCGGGACAGGCAGCAGAGAACAAGGGTGTCGGCGACCTCCGAGGTTTATATGTGCCCTGCGAAATCAACATCCCAGCTATTTTGTGTGCCATCGTCAAGAGATACCTCTTGAGAAGTTTTTCCTCAATCTGAAACTCGCCAATCCCACACATGGCCGAAACGTTTATTACATTTGGCCCAGACTGTTGCAATACTTCAGGGTACTGTATTAGTACTAGCTTAACACAAGTCCCACCGACCGCAGAGAGGTCCCCCCGATTGAAAGAAGTTGCAAACCCAGTCACCGCAACTTTCTTCAATCGGTTTTGAACCCATTGATTCCCGCGGTGCTGCTGTATGAAGCTAGGCTTGACTACAATTGTGTCAGAGTCCAGACTGCTAATGTTCGATGATCAAGTTTATCAGGGTAACTCGTAAGAACAATGTGCAGTACAACAACATACAAGCAAATCGACTGCGTTGTGCATATGAGTCCCTGGCCCGTAGTTTGTCCTATGTATGTTTAAATAAACCAATTTAACTGGTTATGTAAATTTTTCAAGCTTATCAAAGCAACGCGTAAGAAAACAGCACATTATGATAAACTAAATGTGTTACTTGCATCTAAGCTTATACCTATCTATCATTATAACAATAGAGATACGCAGGCAAACAAAGGAAATAAAATTGAAGTTTCAGATAGACATCCATCATGAATGCAGTATGATAATTCTACTACGCACTCTACACACTCCTAGCAGATTGCCACCACTGTGTCCTAGGTTTAAATAAACCAATTTAACTGGTTACGTAAATTTTCAAGTTTTTCAAAGTGACGCGTAAGAAAAAAGCACACCATGATAAACTAAAAGTGTCACTTGCATCTAAGCTTATACCTATCTCAACCTGAGCCCCAAAACCGACGCCCCGAGGGTTCCCCGAGCCCCAAACCCTCGGGGCCCGGGCTCGGTCACCTTTTTTGGGACCCCAGTACATCAGGGGCCCCGTAGGGTTCGGGGGCGGGGTGGGCCTAGTCCTCAAACCCCCAATCTTGTCCGCGGGGAACCCCGGCTTCCTGCGGGTTTTGGGCATTCGGGATAGGGCTTGGGGGGCCTTCTGGAAGCCGGGTTTTGATCGGTTTGGGTAGGGTTTGGGCGCGGGGGGGCCTACTGGGTATTGGTTTGGGGTGCGGGTAGGCCATTACCCGCGTTTTTTGGGTCGGGGCTCAGGCTGATACCTATCTATCATTATAACAATAGAGATACACAGGCCAACAAAGAAAATAAAATCAAAGTTTTAGATATACATCCATCATGAATACTGTGCATGTCATATTACAGTATGATACTTCTACTACATACTCCTAGCAAATTGCCACCAGTTTGTTCTAGGTTTGAATAAATCAATTTGTTCAAACTGATCATGTAATTATTCTAAGCTTATCAAAGGAACATATATGAAGATAGCACATCATGATAAACTAAAAGTGTTACTTGCACCTAAGCTTATACTATCTATCATTATAATAACAATAGAGATACACAGGCAAACAAAGAAAATGAACACAAAGCTTCAGGTATACATCCATCATGAATACTGTGCATGTCATACTACAGTATGATACTTCTGATACATGCTCCTAGCAAATTGCCACTGCTCTTGAAAAATTAAGTCAGATAGATGGGAGGTTCATTGTTTGATGTGGCTGGGTTTTTTCAGGCTTTATATAAGCTAATTTTTGTGTCAAGTGTTTGGGTGTCAACCTTCAAAAAAAGTGTACCACCTTTGTTGGCAAGTCAAATTTCTCATCACCTGGAAAACAAAGTGCAATATTCTTGCTTAATTGATTAACCTGTAGTATGGCTATGGAAGTATCAACATCAAATATGATAAGTGAAAGGCTTTTGAGGTGACCAAATGAGAATTTTGAAGTCAGACCAAAGGAGTTCAATAGGACCCTGGAATGCACCGGTCAATGTGGGTGACAAGGACAGTCCCCTATATTGTTATCAGGTTTAGGAAAAATCCTAAAAAGCCCCTTTTCTGGTCACCCACATACGTTGGTTTTTGGCATTTTGGCTCGGAAAAAAACCCTTTTTGGTCACCCGCATCCAAAAAAAAGGCTGTGGGAGTGTGCAGAAGTGCCAAATGTGCTTTCTGAGCAATGTATTTTAGTGATATAGGCCTAAACATTCATGTGTAAATGAGTGAGTTGTAAACAGTATCTACAAAAACTAGTTCTTTAATCATTTAATTGGAAATTTCACCATTGCTGGGCTGGGTTTTTAATTTAGCTAATTCATCATAGTATTGGTCAATCAACTGTTCAAGATGAACAGATCCAAGTATGTTGCGCATGACCAATGGAATCATATAGCAGCCTTGACCAACATCCTTGAAAGAAGAACCCTCAAAAATGTATACTATGTCGGTAGCATCCAGGAGAGAATGAGCCAACTCATTGGATGACGAGTTTTGAGTTGGTGTTACAACTGGATAAAGGGGGTTGTAGAAGAGGACTTGTACTGCAATATGAGACAGACCCTTCCTTGGATCTCCACTGGTCACAAAAGCATGTTTTTTTGTTGACAAGCTTGTAGGCAACGAGAGTTTTTGCCAAGTACAAAGTCTAAACGTTAAAGATGCATCAGTATTCAAAAAATTATCATTCAATTGTGAGATGAACTTACGTGATTCTTGATAACAATCAGGAAGCTTCCAGTTTTGATAGGGTTTGTGGGCTTGATTTCCCCGCCTTCAAGGAGCCCTTGCAAGTGGACTTGACCAAACACTGCAGAGTCCTTGACAATCCCAGATAAGTCTATCTTCACATTTATATTCCACTGGTGCCTATGCGCTTTGCCCGTGGGGATTTCTTCCAAGTTTTTGATCTTTGAGCAAGCACTTGATTTCACACCACCGCTCTTTGTCTTACTTGTCAATTCCAAAGCCAATTTGTCAGGATGAATGATGTTTTGTTCATTTCCCTTATGATTTACAACCTTGCTATCGTGAAGTTTCCAGATTGCTGTTAAATTGGCACCGATGAGCTTGCCATCCATGACTAGTGGACCAATAGCTATATTGCTTTTTGAGTCATGAGATTGTTGGCAATGCTTATCTGAAGCTACAAAAGTAAGCGAGAGATGTGTCAGTAAATATGTTTAGGGAACTCGCCTAGACAACGTTGATGCTACTTACACACCGGATTGAGCAGGTTTGATATAGACATTGCTGTGTTTTTCAAGCTTTCACTTTCTGAATCATCAGGCAAAGTTTCCAGAAAAAGGTCTACCGAGTTCTGTTCCTTGGTCAAGTGAGCAGCGGCTTCCAGCGCTTGCTTTTCGCGCATTTCACCACCTGTATATCCATACTCGATATTGTAGTGTTGAGTGGCGCAAACAGAGATATCTAAAAACAAAGGATTGGTCATTGATGGTCATCAATACATGTAAAGAAAAAAGGATAAACAACTTACCTGATAAATTTTCAGGTGAGTTTTCAGCCACCTCATCCAGGTCTGGGCCCAGAACATCCTGGATCAGAGATACCAGTGACCCCATTCCAGCAATCAGGGACAGTTGATTGGCTTGCTCATGGGCAATTTCTAGATCCTCGGAAATTTCTTCATCAGTTGGAAACTCGGCAAGAAACTCAAGATGATTGTTTTCAGGCTCATCCGAAAACGCATACTGGTATCCAGAATGCATGTGTTTGGAAGGTGGTATTTTCATTTTCCCTGACATAATGTTTTTGACAATTGCATGGATTTTTGGAGACATCATTCTAGCATCCAGAACAGTGAATCTTGGGGATATAATACACATCCAGCCAAAGATGTGTTTGCATGGTTCACTACCATGTTTCCAAGGGAGAAAAGGAGTGGTCGGATAAAATTCTTGGTGAGCTAAGATGAGCTGAAGCAGTGCAAGCGTTGAGAAAATCTTGAAGCTCTGGGGTGAAATTCAGTTTTGAGCAAAGCTCATCAGTTTGTTAGACTCGGATTGTTGTTTTAAAATATGCTTTTCCATTGTCGCAAGAAAAAATTGGCAGTCCAGGCTGATCTTAGACGTTCTCAATGACCAATCCATTGATTCAACCAGGCATCGCACATCTTGCCTATCACAAACAGGTAGATTGACAACCCAATCATGTCATCATCAGCCAAAGAGACCGCCAAGGTTCTGGAGTTCAAGGTTTGAAAAGCTCAGCCATTGTCCTGCTTGTCGCAGTCAAAGACATCCTTATGAAGGAGAGGGCTCCGACCAGACTGGAGGATAGCAGCTATCTGCTGTATAGATATATGATGTTGACCAATGACAAGGAGGCGTGCTCCAGAGCTCAACTGATTAGCGCCAGTTTTACAAGTGTGCTTTGGGTCTTGGACCATTACTACTGGTTGTGGTGGATGTCCAATCAGAGGAACCTTGACGTGTATGTTATAAGTCGGGTTTGAGTAAGATATATATTGAGTAGCTGTTTCCGCAAGCATAGTTTGAGCGCAGAGTTCAGTCGGTGCGCCATCTGCTCCAATAGATAGGATGTTGATACCAGCATCTTGAGATAATTCCAAGAATTTTGTATGTTTTTTGAGTATATATTCTGAAGTCTCCTTGTTGCAACTAGCAATAAGCACCACTACAAATGTTGGGATGTTAGGCAAAGGAACCTGTAGAGTGTAGGCTCGGATCTGGTGGAAGGAAATAGATAGATTTCAGCAAATCTACCCGCCTGTTTGAAAGAAAAAGTAAACCACAAAAAAGTAAAGCACTTACTTTAGAACAAAGTTCCTCACAGTGCCCGTGGAGAGAGCCCCCAACGTTGGGGGCTCCAACAAGTACAAAGGCTTGCCTTTGTACTCTTGAAGGCCCCCAACGTCTAGGGCGCCCTTCACAGGCACTGTGCCTTGTTCTTGATTACATTTTTTTACCAGATCTGGGAGCTCAGAAGGATCACCAAAAGCAATATCCCCTCCTTGCGCCCCAACTAAACAGCCATTATGATATCGAAGGCGCTTGACACACACGGTGTGGTAATCAAAATATGAGACCAATCAAAAAATCAAAAAAAATCGAATTTTGAATTACATCAATTATATTACATATAGTTTAATATTTACATCATTTTATCATTCAAACAAACTTATCAAGATAAGTATAAACTATTAACAAACAGATTACAAAAAGAAAGAAAGAAAAAAACATAAGAAAAACTCGAAAATAGAGGTATACAGGTTGGAAATGGTTTTTAGGGTAGTAATATTAGGTTTATGGGTTTAGTAGGGTTGGAATACGAAAGAGGAGCATTGTTTTAGTCAGCAACAACTTTAATCTTGGTGGTTGATAAGAGAAAATAGAAGTTATTAAGGAAATGGGAAAAAGTCGAAATTGGTAAACAAGGGTTTACAGGTAGTTTTACATATGTAACAGTAGTATTAGTAATGAATAAAGTTTTCAAGGGTGTTTTTAGGGATTTTCACGGTTGGAGATTACTGTGTAATGTTACAGAAGGCAAGAAAGGCTTAGTAAAAGGTGTGAAAAGTGAAGAAAATAGGTGAAAATAGTCGAAAATGAAGGTTTTCAGCTGATTACATGTGTCAAATGACGTCAGAACATGATAAGTAATAGCTCATTCGACGCAGAATCATCAAATTCATAATGTACAATCTTTAAATCATTAGTAACAGAGGTGTATGACAAAAGTTATAAGGAATCAAAGGATTTGATTACACATCAACAAGATCACAAATCATTAATAACAAGCAATTACATCATTGAAATGCTGAATCATCATAAGATCAAATCAATATTCATTCTAGAACATTCAGAACACAGCATATACACAGCATATACACAGCATTTGATCATAAGAATAGAGATTAGTCATGTTTTACTGGTCAAATTAGTAATAAATCTTATCAGATGATGAATAGAAGATCACATTACATCATAATAATGATCATAATGGGTTGATGAGGTACTGATGGCGAAATTTAGGAATGTAGAGAGTGGTTGAATCATTGGATCAAAGCTGTTTACCAGCATTTTAGTCATCTTTTGGTTTTTTAGATGGTAAAGAGGATTTTTTAAGAGCTGTTTACCACTTTAACAATTTGTATTGATGTGTTCATAAACTTGTGTCTTTTGTGCGAAATTATGTTTCCTTTCTTCTTCATCTCTTACATAGCATTAATCATTTTTATCATTATAAACTTATTAGAGCAGTACTAGGTCACTCAAATCAGCCCTTCATCAGAAGAGAAATTTGTTTTATGTGCTTTATATGACACTGTCATTCTGGAATAATATCAAAAAGATATTGAGCTTATTTTTCAACATTTTGACTCGACTGGAATAACACTTTAAATGTGTTGAGCTTATTTCTCTGGTGCTTTTTATCAAGATACTTTTCTCTTATTATCAAAGACCTGGTTATATTTCTCTGTTATCAGGAGACTTTAACAACAAAGTCCAGTTTGTTAAAGATTCTCAGAAAGAGCAGTCTCAGACACCTTCTTTAGATCTATTATATCTTCAGATTATCCTCTTTCAAAGCACTGTATAGCCCTTGTTGTGCTATAAGTACTACAACGGTTTGATTGGAAGCTGCTGCTACTGGACCAGAATAGCCAAGATCTTTCAAGACTTGAGCGATACGTTTGAAATTGTCAAAGTGAATACCATTGAGTAGTTGCATTCCTTCTCTGGCTCGGGTCATTCTGAGACTTCAAGTGCTACGTCCCACAAAGTTATTGTTGAAGAGATTCAGAGCGCGCAGGCTGATAGCGCCAAGCGTCATGACAAATTTGTCAAGGCACAAAAAACAATCTTCATACCTCGGGTAGTCTTGCCGGCATTCTCGTGTTCAGCTTTGACTGCAACAGCCTTGATCAACCCGCATGTTGCATCCCAATTGTCAAATAAGCCATTTCGAGCTGAGGCAGCAAGAACCATGCAACAGTCAGAGAAATCTCCCTTTGAAGCCTTCTCAATCAAAGTTGACAAGAGACGTGCATGTTTAGACTTTAGTACTGTAGGTGTAAATGTGTTGATGTTATCTGACATGTAGTTATCGCGGCCGTACTTCATCGTTTCAGCTTCAGCATACTTCATATTGAGGGCTTTGATCAAGCTACGCAGATGTTTGAGATCTTCACAAGCTGGACAGACAGCGTTCTTGATGGTTTTCTTGGCCATAAAAGTTTTACTACACTGGCTAGAGTAGATTGAATTGCGGTCTCCGTGGCACTTGATCTGCCATTTCGATCGAGCATCTAGAGAGTAATCAATTGAGATTTCTGTGCATGAGTCAACTTGCTCTCTTGAGCAAGTTGGCCGAAAGGTTCTTGGCAGATTTCGTGTTGGACGTTGCCACAATAGATTGAGAAAGATCTTGTGACAAAGGTTGCAATGGACTGTACAGCTCGGTCGTGTTTCCATGTATTGTCGTTGAGTCCCGGACAGTCGATTTCAATCGTGTTCTTAGCAGTTACCGACCTTCCAAAATAAGATGTTAACTCAGTAGTCTCCTTGAGGTCATCAGTTTTCTCTTTGCATGCCTCTGTTACAAAAAGAACATCAAAAATCAGTACAAAGATCAACTATTATCAATAGCAAAATCACTTACCAGAGGCCCAGTGATTTTTTGCAACTCTAACACAACCACCATTTAGCCAGATTCTTTTGGCACCACAATGGCAAGCAAGATCTTTACCTCCAGGGCGGTCTTCCACCTGGCATTGGGAGCAGTTCTCGCCAGGTTTTGATAAAGGGCACAGTTCAATGATCTTGTTTTTCTTTGGGAAAGAACCTCCGGTAAGATTCTTGGGGAAAGTACCTCTGATGAATACCAGATCACTGTCATTGTCTGATTTGTGGTGTTTTTGATTGTCAGAGGATAAAACTATGATTGTCGATTTCTTGGTACTAGTAGAAGCTGTTTGTGGCTGCTTGGATGGACGCTGTAGGGTCTCAGAGGTCTTTGAGTGGGACACCACTTGGCGTTTCTCACAGCTAGGTTGTTTGTCAGGATTCTTATTGACAGCTCCCACATCTGATTCGAGTTGTATATAAAAATCTCCAATCAGTTACATACATAAATCTTGAATCATGAAGACTGCTAAAGCTACAAACTCACCTATAAGTGCGGTTATAATGTTGTCAAGCTTGATCTTGACAAGTTTGTCAGAATCAGCATCCCATGTGTGATGCTTTAAAGCATCCTTGATCCATATGACCACCATCGGAAGTCCAAACCACCCTTTTGATATATTTCAATTGATACAATCTTTTCCGTATACAGTATCAAGATTGCTGTTTACTGAATACCACATTCCTTCATCGGGATTGGTGACTGCAGCATTAGAGAAAGTCATGTAGGTTGGATCTTTACTAGTCCCTTCTCGAAGACCAGGGCAGTGGTTACACAGCTCTTCATTCTTTTGTAGAGTTTCATTGAATGATAACATGATTCACGCGGGTTTACCTGGGTTTACAGTGGGTGTATGCAGGGCAGCGGTGTTTGAGGGCGTTTGTGGCTGTTGCTGGATCTTTGTGAATTGATGAATAAGCTTTAAAAAGTTTGTTTATCAGGATTTTCAGGATTTGTTTGGAGAAGTGCGAAGCTTGCGGAAGCTTGCGGATGTGTGAATTGATTGAGAGAGGGGGCTTGGGGAAACCTAACCCTAGAAAGTCCCCTTCCAGGTCACCCACATTGAATATTTGAACCTCAAAAGTCCCCTTTCATGTCACCCACATTTTGGTGAAATTTGGCCAAAAGTCCCCTTTTTGGTCACCTACATATGACCAAAAGTCCCCCAAAAATACACCTTTTCCGTCACCCACATTGACCGGTGCAATCCAGGGTCCTAGTTCAATGGACTTGTGTAGCTTGATTGAGTCTATTGGTGTCAAATATAAGGAGCCAGGATCATACACAATTTTTATCTTCTGATTTTCATCCTTGACTTTCATTCTTTGCCTCCCATAATTCATTTCTTTTGGGTTTAAAGGAATCTTGTCAAAAAATAATCAATGACCAAATCTTTAGTGTTCATAATCTATCTTACAATCTACCCTGATGTTCCCAGTTGCTATACACATATCTGTGCCCACAGATGGCATAAAATCAGAACATTTTTGTATTGATGTGTTGCATTGATGTTTTTGTAACATTCTTGTTGTGTAACTTGATTTCCAGTTTGGTTTACCTTGCTTTCCCTTTTTATTTATTAGTTAAAAAAAATCAGGACCACACCAAAGGTCTAGGTAGGGGGTTTTGTAAAAAAAATCACTGATTTCAGCCTTTTCATACCAAAAAAAACATATGGGCCTGTTTGGCATGGTGCAATATACATATATGCTAATACAATACACCAAACCAATATACAGTATATTGGCATATACATATGTCAAATTTTAAAAAACACTGGGGTGTTTGGTATGATCAGTTGGACCAAATATTAAATCATATTTGTCTATCCTGTTACAGCTGTTGTAAGATCTATCGGTAGATTTTGCGACCATTGTGTTGTTGCCGGATTTAATGTAAAGGTCAAAAACTCAAAAAAAACCCTTCTGGGATTGAGAACTCTACTGCCTCCAATCTAGTACAATAACAATTGAGTTAGTCTCAAAGTGACAAAATTTTGAGTTTTTGACTTCAAAAGTTAAATCTGGTGACAACAAAGCTTTTCAAAAATCTGCCAATAAATCTTACAATGGCTGTACTTGTGCACAGTTTTATGTGTTCTATTCTCTTATCTCTCTTTCTCTATACTCACTGAACTCTTGTGTAACAATTAGGATTGTTCTTTCAAATAGCTTTTGAAAGCTGTGAGGCCTGTCTTCTGTTTTACTTACATCATCTTGATTACCCCAAGAATGCATAAGTATGCATCTGATCTTATCAAAATTATCTTTTTATTTCTGTTTATCTGTTCTGAATTGACTCTGTCTTTTTCTATCATGTTGCTTGTGCACAGGCTTGTTCTTTCAAATAGCTTTCTCACACTGTGAGGCCTGCAGGTACCGCCAACATAGATACCTGGGCTTGAAAAATCCGAGGCATCACTGGATATATACCCTTGGACAGATCTTGTCTGAGGTGTTGATTCAAGGTATCTTTTGGTGCAAAAAGATACCTTGGAAAGATTCTGTCCAAGGTTTTCAATCCAACAATACCCCGTATTTTTCAATCCAAGGCATCTATGTTGGCTGTGCTGTTTGTTGTTTTACTCACTTCATCCTGATTACCCCAGGTTCTATTCTTATACGGCAAATCCCCAAGCTCACTATCCATTTGAGCATCTATATTTACACAAGTACCTCAACAGACTTAGTAGCACTGGGTGGGGGGATGGCTGCATTGTGCTACCCAACATGAGGTCCGTGCACCAATCATTGCCAATCAACAAGGAAGTCACTTTAAATGCAAAAAATAATTGGAAATGATCAATAATGCAGAATTGATGCAGAAAAATGCAGAAAAATGCAGAAAAATGCAGACTTAATCCATTTCTAAATTGAATGTAATCAGTTTTCACCTTTGAAAAATATATTATATTTGCAGTGTGAGTTCAGTGCTATTTGACTAAAAGACTAACCCCTTTATTTTTGATAGATTCACCTATATCAACCAACACTTAAGTTTTGCCTAAGGAATAAATCATGTTAACCAAGTAACTTGCCTTAGAAGACTATCAAGTGATTGCACCTTGATTAATTCACTGGCAGCAGTATCCTATCCTGCCCCAAAGACAACTATATCTAACACTCATAGACTAGAATTTCAAGGTTACTTACAAAGAACCAAAAAATAACTTTCAAGCACCAAAACTTATTTGATAAAAGACTTGAAAGACACATCTTGTACGTTCTACTCAGCCTTGTTCTTCCTAGATTCTCATACATTCAGAGTCCTAGGCTGACATGTCACAACCCCAATCCAGCTGCATTATTCCACTATAACCAGCTGAGAACATCACACCAGATGAAATGATTAATGCTGTACTAGCCAATGGGACAATTTTCAGGACTACATTTCCTTTGGCTGCCCCAGTCTTATTCACTGAGAAGGAAGACAGGAATTCAAGACCCTGTTTCAACTACCGCAAGCTGAACACTGTCACTGTCAAGAATTACTACCCTCTACCATCAACAATGGACTTTGTTAACAGTCTTTGGATGCCAATGGATTTACCAAATTGGACTTTTGGAACACTTACAGAAATGTGTGTGCAGCTGAAGGCTGTGAAGATATATTGGCTTTCATATGTCAAGCGGGTCAATTTTCTCCATTGACTATGCCTTTTGGACCAACCAGCACTCTTGGGTTTTTCCAGTATTTCTTGTAGGACATTCCACTGAAACATATTGGAAAGGACACTGCCACATTTCTAGTTGATACAATGATCTACACCAAGAAGAGCTGCCAACATAGATGCCTTGGATTAAACAAACCAAGGCATCATTGGATACAAATCCTTGGACAGATCTTGTCCAAGGTTTTCAATCCAATGAGACCTCAGATTTTTCAATCAGAGGTATCTCTGTTGGATGTGAGGGGTGCTCAGCACAAAAAGACAGTCCTTGAGATCCTAGAAATATTAGAAAAGCATCAACTGTGGCTGAAATTGTGAAAATGTGGATATTTGAGATCTGAGGTCAAATATTGGGCCTTTTATATCTCACAACAAGGTTAAAATGGACCCAGCTAAGGTCCAAGCTTTGACCAAATGGCCAGCCCTTAGAATTGTAAACTTACTGCACCAATTTATAGGCTTTGCAAATTTTTATTGCTGGTTAATCAATCAATTTTCACAAATAACTAGACCCTTGCATAACTTAACCAAGAACACCACATGGTATGTGTGGGACAACAAATGCAATAAGACCTTTGAATGATTCAAGGCGGCATTCACATCAGCACCTATCCTGAAGATCACAGACATTTATAAGCAGTTCTTATTAGAGTGGGATTGTTTGGACTTTGCCCTAGGGGCAGTATTATCTCAGTACTGTGAGGACAATGGTCAGGTATGTCTTGTGGATTATTTATCTTGCTTGTTAGTGCAAGCAAAGTGTTACCATAAGATTTTGGATAAAGAGCTACTTGCCATTGTCACATCATTCAAGGAATGGCAAAATTATCTAGAAGGAAACCCTCACTGACTAGAAGTTGTTGTTTATAACAATCCTTGCAATGTGGAAACCTTCATGAAGAACACAGTTGACCATACACCAAGCTAGATGGGCTGAGACCCTCAGGTGTTTTGAGTTCCAAATACAATTCCTGCATGGGAAACACACAACTAAACCTGACACACTTTTACACAGACCTGTTCTAGAGCCCAGCCAGCATGACAAGCTTACTTTTGGCCAGTTTCTAAAACCTGAGAACATTGGTACGGACACCTTCACAGAGATTGCTGCCCTGGAATCATTTTTTGAGGACAAAGAGGTGATTCTCAACAACTCAGAACACTGATTTGAAGTTGATGTCCTAGGTGTATCTAAGACTGAGATGGAACTACCTGAATCAACACCCAACAATGTTAATATTACTCACCCACTTGAAACAATACTGGATGATGAGAACATCATCTCAATCTCCTCATCTAACTACCAAGGATAGGGCATATGTTCAATCTGCAACAGTCTGATGTAGGATTTCCTACTCCACAGAAATGTATTTTGCCAAAAAAGTCAGATTCTGAATCAGCACAGCATGTATCTAACATAAAAAGTCAGACTTAATGTGGTGTTGAACCTGTGGCCTTGAGCCCCTCTGGGCAGAGGCTATTTCCAAGTGCACACAACTGCATCTGCTGACTTGGCCATCCTTATAAACATCAGTATTGACCACGAGTGGGTCGTGGACTTCTGATCTGCTACCAAGGACCAATGATTTACCCAGGGATCAGGGATTTTGCCCAGGAATTGGGGCTTGGATTTATGTGACCAAAAAAGTTGGATTTGGGGAGGAAAAAAATTGCTACCAGCGGAAAGTTATATTTCTGGTCAGACATCATAGTACAAGCATTCCAGTGTCCTCTTATTCCATGTGCTAAGTTGGTGTCTGGTGGCATTTTGATGGTGGAATACACGTGAATAAAGATGAATTGGGAAGGTGGTGGATTGGAATCAATCCCAATGGTATGCTGGATGAGGTATTGTATCTTTGCCCATCCAGTGGACCTGCCTTGGGTAGATTTTCAATCCAAGGCAAATTTTGCACTTCTCAAAAAGAAGAAACTTAAAAGCTCCCATCCAGATGAAGTACTTGATTCATCTCAAAGGAGCATGAAACAAAAAATACCATTAAATATCTCATCAGCTTTCAAAGTTGATATATCAAGAAACAAATATAAACAATTAATACTCCTTTTTCCTCCGCCTTGTTCCAGAAACCCATTTTTTTTAAAACTAAACAATGTATGATATATAGGGTTTTCGTATTATTGGATTTATCAATAAAGAGCTACACAAGCCATCGATATCAATCAAAAAAAAACTAAAACTGAAACTTAAGAGTGTAAACTTCAAAAAAATCAAAGAACAAAAAAAAACACAAAAAAAGAAAAAAAAAGAAAAACTTGTATATATAAAAATGTAAACATTGTGATATCTTTTGAAAATATTTTTTTGTCCTTGTATCTTTCCAAAAATAATAAAGAATAATAAGAAATCTTGGGTATTAAGACGAAAATGAAGATGAAGATGAGAAATGAAAAAAGGAAAAATGTAGAATGAAAGACTATTAATGAAATAAACCATCTATAATTCACGAAGAATTAAACAAAGATAAGAAAACAATTTTTTTGTGATTGTTGGAAATAGTGTATCAATGAGTGTATCAAAAAGAGGTATATAAAAAAGAGGTATATGAAGAAAAGAACTTGGGAAGAGATACAAAGACTTAGAATTTGTATAGATATATATATATATATAGTAACTTAAAAACCGTTTATGAAAATTTTGAACAAAAAAACAACACCAAAAACACCAAATAGAAAGCAAAAAGAGACCCAAAACCAAAAGAAAACAAACATCATCAAAGAGGGACATGGATTGATTATTTAGTCCACCAATTCTTAGGTAATGATTCAAGATTAGAAATCGAATCGAATGATAAATCATCACCGTTAGCACTTTGAGGAGGAGAAGGAGGAGCATGTACATTAAGTGAAGCAAAAGTGATGTAAGAACTACTATGATTATGATTCAAATCGTTAGGAGTACAATGGTTGAATGGGAAACCGCCTTCTGAATCTTGGTCTTCTGAATCTTCTGTTACTGATGATGGAGATGGATAAGTCGAAGCCAAGATTTCCTATGATCATAAATGAATGGTTTGCATTAGAATTTTAGGTTTTTTTCGATCACAGGCTTGGAAAAGATTGGGTGAGATTTACTTTGGATGGACTTGATGATTGATCGGTTTGACTTCTACTCCAACTTCTATCAAGACTTGAGGATCTATTCCTACTAACAGCTCTTAAAGCACGCGAAAGGGCTTCACTAAAAGATCGTCAAAGAAAATATCAGTTTCAAGTTCAACATGTAGGATTTGACAAAACAAATTTAATTTACCTTGGAGATCCATCACGATCCGATTCTAAGGTCATTTTACCTTTAGCAATGATACCACACGGAACAGTCAAAGGACTAGTAGTAGTAGACGAAGTAGATAATCTAGGAGGTAAAGTAGGACGATGACGATGATTTGAATTAGGAGTAAGACGTTTTCTAGCTAAAGCACTAGATCTAGAAGAAGAAGGTAAACGAGGTCTAGAAAGGGAAGAAAGAGAAGGTATAGCCGTAGGAGAGGAATTAAAAGCTCTTTTAAAACTACGCGACGAAGAAGGTCTTTTAATCAAATCTAATTGAATGAATGATGAATTAGGTTTGGTTGATGGAAATGAGACGGGTTTGGTAGGTGATGATGGTAAACTGTTGGATGATGGTTTTCTGATTAAATGATGATGTGGTGATTGAAATAAGAAATGATGTGGTGATGAAGATCTAGATGATTCGATTAAGAATGAATCTGATCTTGGTATCATTCTTAGACTTCCTTTATCGTTTGACATTTCGGATGGATTGTTGATGGTTTCGAATGAGTTCGTTTGATGGTTTGTATTATGAAGTGGTGGTGGTGGTGGTGTTGGTGTTGTTCTTGGTGGTATTGTTTTGGTGGATTTCGATTTTCGTTTTGAATTTCCCAAAAACCGTCCAAAAAAGAAAAACTTCTAAATTCTCAAAATTAATGAATTTTCTTCTTTACTTCTTCTTCTTCTTTTCTCTTGTTTCTTTTTTTCCAAAAAGACCCTTGCGCCCTTTGAATTCGATTGATGATTACTTTAACAACCCAATTCAACGCTTCTTTTATATTTACAAATTCCTCCAAAAGAAAATTACAATTCAATTTATTCAATTCATTCAATTCAAATCGAATTTTTTGAGGGTTATCTTTCTAGTCAAAACTGGGGTGGGTCACAGGGTTTCTTTAGACCATACATAATCACTTTTAAGATTTTTAGGAGCACTCATTTTAAATAAAGGACACATGCGCGACCGGTACCGTGTCATAGGAAAAATCGTTCAAAGTCGTAGACCTTTGACTGTTCTCACTCCCATAGTCTAGTCTTCGTAACTGCCCCTAATTTCTCCGTCTACGTAGACATGTAGACTCACCTCACACCGCTCCAAACACACCGAGAGGATCCTTCGGTCAAGTAGGCGCTAGTATGCCTCAAGTGTACGTACTCAGTCTCTGAGTCACCTATTGCTCACACATCCACAGTGACTGCGGCGTGACTGCCGCCGGGAGATGAGTGGAGGGATCTTCCTCACAGACTCCCATGAGATCAGATGATATCACATCATAGATTTGTAGAAGCCAAATACGGCATCGATCGGAATCATAGCTCCAACTTCAAGCTCATCTATTTAGACCTATTTACACTTGTGTATGAGAGATGAAAGAGAAAGACAGGTGACTCTTGTTTGATCATTAATCTCTAAAGTCATGGCAGAAGATGTCATAGGTATGTAGTTTTCGAGGCGATGCGGCTTTGGAAAACTAAGCCCCTCTAGTCGGACTCTGGAGAGGGACTTTATCCGTCAGTCTTGGTGGGTCAGAAGAGGGTTCCAAATTAAATTTTGGCTGGGAGGGTTTTCAAAACTTCAAAAACTTCCACTTTGTCTAAATCAACCCCCTTGCCTGTTCTAATTGGAGCTACCTGTGTCCATTTGCTTGAAATCTGTCTATGCAGATCTTTTTTATCTCACTCTGATCTTTCTTGAGGAGGAAAAAAGGAGTTTGGGATTTGAAAGTATCTTTGAAACAAAAGTTACAAAAAATCTAAATAACACATTCTGTTTTGTCTTGGAAGATGATTAATAATTGATCAATGAACTACACTCAAAAACCAAAATTGTGTATTGTACCAGCTAAAGAAGATGCAAGACCATAGAAGACCAGGGTCTTTTGGGTCCCTTTAGCTGAAGCTATATATATATTCTCTCAATTTGTGCATGAATTGGAGCAGATGAGACTGCCCTTCCAATACATATTGACCTGTGTGGAATAATTGATTTGGCAAGGAGATGATGTATGTATGCAGGCAGGTCTAAAGCGTACTCAAATAGACACACAGTGTGCATGTAGCTGATCACAAAGGCAAGAGTAAGTACAATCAAGGATGCTAGGCCAAGGGACTGAGTCAGAGTGTGTTCATCAGCTTGAGTTGTGCCAGACAACATGCTCAGTAAAATGGTATACAGGTGCAGCTGAACAAGAAGCTGATCTTTAAATGGATGCCAGAGAGCAATGCTCTGTCATTCACTAGTTTGCCCTTGACAACAAGGGCACAGTCAACAGGAACAGTGGCAGGTTGATGTCCTGAACTTTGCATATCTTAGAAATTGCTGGCCACAACTTGCATTTAATGTAATCAGAATCAGCCTGATTCATATATGCTGACTACATTACTTGATACTGGATATTTTTTTCTTGTTGATCTCAAGATTGATCTCATTTTTCTCTGTCCATTTGGCGCCCATTTAATTTTGTCTATGATGATAATCTTACAGCAATGTGATAGATATTGATTTATATGGTAGGCTTTCATCTTTATTCAAGCCTGTTTCAATTTTTCAGGAATTATCCAGAACCTGAAAAAGGCAAAAAGTGACATCATGATTCTTGATCTTCATGTGTGTGAGTAAAATGGAAGCAAGCTGTATGCTTTCCAACTGGGCTTGAATTGAGCATCTATCAAAGACAATATGATATGAATATTAAGAAAGAAATTTCATCACTCATAGAAATTTAAATGAACATCAATTTAAGAACACAAAATATTTGATGCTCATCATCATCATCATCTTATAAACCACAGGTAAGATAAGAAACTTGCAAATTAAGAAACACATGAGGAATATGTATCTTGAGAATCCTAATCTAAATTGATGAATTTTCTTTGACTTGAAATTGGATCCATTCTCCTTGATTTCCTTGTCTCAAAGAATGTTTTCAATGATTTGTGAGAAGTTTGGGGAAATGAATTAACAAAATCTTCTATATCTGACATTGGACCCCCCTTTGCTGATTTGCTTTTCTTCACAAGTCTTTGGAAGGAGGTTGGCTGACTTTTGGCAAAATTAGTTACTGAATTTGAGGGTTGATTGTAAACCAATGAACATAGTGTATGAAGATGACCAAAAAAACCCATCAATCAATCAATGAAACAATGAAACAAATGACTATGATCAAAAATGAAACATATGGAAGATTTAAGTCTTCTTTGGAAGGGAGGAGGTATCTTACCCTCTGGGTTTGATCCTGATGGTGAAAGTCTGTGCTGGTATATACTGTCTGCACTATTGTCATAGCCTAAATCATGCTGTGAATCAACATCTGATGAGTACAAATCAATTCATCAGTTTGGAGGGTCATTACAGGTTTTTTGGGAAGAACCTCAAACTTTGTCTTACCTTGATTTCTGTGTACCGAATTTGTTTGAGATTGGTGCAAAAAGGTTTGGTGGTCAAATGAACCATCACCTGATATCAACAGAACACCAAAAAGTTAGTTTCATTCCAGGTCATTGATTTCAACTCTCTGTCCTTGACATGACTTACTTTCATGATCCAAATGAATGCTAGGTCCAAAGGTGTTATGTTCTGCATTGTTAATATATGATGGTATATCAACACATGTCTTTGTATTAATAGTTCAATGGTGAAATATGCATACCATGAACATTTTCAAAGACAAAGTTACTGTTGATGTGTTCTACAGGATCAAGATGAAGATTTTAATCAAGTGATTAGTAATGCATCACAATCTGTTAATTCCAGACTCACTTGGATCTATGATTGATTGATACTGATTCTCTAAAGGATGAAAAGAGTATGGATGTGAAGGTTCTAGAATTGGGGTACCAGTAAAGCCTATGTCATGTTGTGGGTTATCATCTGATAATTTTGGATCAATTCATCAGTTTTTAAGTGTTTTCATAAGCAGTTACCAGAGCATCTTTTGGATTGATCCTCACAATGATATTCTTGCACCCAGTGAGGCTGAGATTGATGTAAGACATTTTGGTGGTCAAAGACGTGATTGCCTGACATTGATAAATAATGTATGAATTGAATCAATCACATCGCCAAAAGCATTAGTTTTGTTTAGAGTACATGTTTGCACTTGTCCTCATCAGAAATTACTCACTTTCATGGTTAAAAGGAATGGTATGTTGAAAAGTCTCATGTTCTGGATTGACCATATATTGAGGTATGTTAACAGAATCTTGATACTTTTGAGTTAATGATGACATATGGATATCATGAGAATTCTCATAATATAAGCTACTATCAAGGGCCTCTGGAGAATCAAAATCTAAATTCAAGATCAATGAATAGGTATTTTAATACATATTGCAGCAAGGGATAAGGGATTTGAGCTATATGTTAGACTTTTCAAGACAAGATTTGAAGGGAATTCCAAGTTCACTGACCTTGGCTATCTGAGTTTGGTATGGTTTCATGCCAAGGGTAATATGATCCAACCTTATCGGGACAATCTGGGTAGTGGCTTGTGTGGGTTGGAAGATTGAAACCACGTTCTGGAAAAAGATTGTACAGATATAAAATTTGAATCATGCAATGAAAAGTTTAAATAATAGTTCACTGACTACCATGTTTATCATCTTCAAGGTGGTGAGCTGGATCAAGATTTAAATGATCAATATTGAGCTTGATGTAATCATCTAAGGTTTGATAATCATGGTTTTGTTCTATTGGAGCAAAAGCTTAGCTCTATGTTATGGTGAATATCTTGAGATACAATATAATTTCAAGACATTGAGATTTTGTTTGGAATATAGGATTTTAAAAAGCTTGCCTTGTTGAATGGGTTGATCCATTTGATAAATTACACTTTCATGGCTAGCGCTTTTTACAAGCATGTGATTGTTATAGGATGGTTTTTCAAACTCAACTTCATTGCCATTGCCAATGTCAGTGGAATAACTATCTGTAAATTATTGATCAAAAAACGGCTTACAGATCTGATTTACTGCTGCATTTGTTGAAGGATGATGGAAAACTTCCATACCATCAATTAAAACAAATTGAGTTGAACTGAAGAGGAAGATAAAACTCATAGAATATAGTAGCTTCATTATTAATATACCTTATGTCTTTGGAAAACAACTTATATAGTTAGATATTGTACTTTAACTTTAAGCTTAGTGGAGGATCAAAATATTCATAAACATTTGACCACCAAATGGCTATATCCATATAGGGATGGTCTTGGTGAGACATGCAAGAAGAAAAAGATATGAGTCAATCAAACTTGTCAAAGGAATTGCTATCTGCATTCAAGGTAGAGTTTGATGTAAATATATCCGCTGAAGCAACTCGAGTCATTTTATGAAATAACTCCATATCAGTTGCATAATCTGAATTCAAAGATTCAATTGCATATTCAAATCCATGATGTCAATTTCCCTGGAACCTTGCACCCATGTTTGAAAAAAGGGTCAGAATACTACCAATATGGGTTCATAACCTGACCTGAACACCACCCTTGCAAAACTATTAAATATACAAAAATTATACCACCAGACCTTATAATCTTCAGTATGTTTTGCCTGTGTCTGGCCCTGATTTGCCTTGTCTCTGAATGAAGAGATGGCTTGAATGTGGGTCTATCTAAATTCTTCAACAGATGTTTAGAGTCAAAGCTGAATAAAGATACAGACTATCACTAGAAAACAGGAGGGCCCACTTGCCAATCAAAGCCCCACATTCAGTTTCTCCTGTCGCTACCTCAAGAAGACATGTGGGGTAAAGAACTTAGAATATGTGCTGTGGCTCAGGTTAAGGGATGCAATCCAAATATTCCTATGACTCATATGGTAATTATAGAACAGTGGTCCAAGGGGACGGACCAATGACACAGACACTGTCAACATTGTTTGTCAGACTCATTCTGATCCAGCTTGAAGGCCATTATATAGAACTTGGTGTATGTGTCATGATGTGAGGCTTTGTAAAATTCAGATTGTAAAATTCAGATTACAAGAGAAAGTTGTTTGGAGGGGTGTCGGCGGCAAGAATGTATGTAGAGCCCCATCAAGCCAGCTCCCCATCAATATTTATTGCTTTTTGAGAGAGTTTATCACATCCAAAGTTCATAAGTCAGGTTTGATTTAGTGATTAGATTGCAAGGAAGCTTGTATTAATGATGGTTTTGAGTTCAAGAGTGGAATTTTTGATGAGATTGCAATAAGAAGACCTTCAGGAACAGGTCACTTATGGGAATATAAAAGGCTCAAGTTGGCTTTGCAGGGAAGAATAGACTTTTCACTGGGATGATTGATGTGATTGAAAATCTCTGGGAATTCAAGTTACATTTGAGCACACAAAACAAATATGAGGATATTGAGATCATATGTTGACTTGCATATTGGTGGCTTGGATAGGGAATGAAAACAAAACAGCAAATGGTGCTCATGATGAACATATTCAAAAGTGGTATGCAAGTTAAATAACATTCTGTTTGGCCTCATGGACAAATCAAGTAGCATTGTGGAGTCACCCCATGTTCACCAATTGGTGCTTTTGGAGGAGGCAAGGATTTTGCCTCATGGGCAAATCAAGTAGCATTGTGGAGTCACCCCATGTTCACCAATTGGTGCTTTTGGAGGAGGCAATGATTTTGCCTCATGATTCAATGATTGTAAATGGTGAGCTTGCCCTAGAATTTTGGAATCCACAAACAGAGATCATGAGAAAATAGTTGGGTATTGATGGGAAGGAAAAGTATCTTCTGGAGGTGATCAATACTTCCAAATGTTTTCAAGATTCCCTTTGATTTCAAGAGATGTACCAGCAGAGACCATGAGAAAACACCAAACTTATAAAGTACTCATTCAAGTACAAGCCCCTACAATCAGGCAGCAAGGAAGAAATATGGGACAGCTAGAAGCTTTTGGGGCTGGCTACATCAAATGTTGTGAAGCAAAAGGTATACATAGAGATTGTTGTGGTACTTATAGCACAACAAGGGCTATACAGTGCTTGCAAGAGTATAATCTACAGAATGTCTCTGAGACTTCTCCTTTCAGAGAATATTCAACAAACTGGAATTTGATGTTCAAGTCTCCTGATAAAAGAGAAAAGTCACTGTTGACAAAGGCATCAGAGAAAAAGCTCAACACTCCCTTGGTGCTATCCCAGAAAGCTTGTAGTTCATTATAAGTACCAATGAGATACATTTGTCTTATCACTTTGATAAGGGCAGTTTGAGTTAAATAAGACTGAGATAGTTGTTTTATAATGATAGAAGATACTACACTATATTATAGATGAGGAAAAGAAAAATCACTGGGACAAATATAATGTCTTTATATATCTGATTTTACACATTGGAAAATGGTAAACAGCTCCCAAAAACCCAAAAGATGACTAAACTGTTGGTAAACAGCTATGGAACAGTGATTAAATGATCTTCTATACTTCCCAATGGTTCCATATGATGGTTATTAAGCCACTAAGATCACTTCTGCAATGTATTATGATCTTTACATCATTCTACAAGCTGATTCATTGCTAATTAACCACACAAAGATGATTTACTTATATTGCCAAGCTCTTCTTATGATTAATTGCGCTGTATATGCTATGTATATGCTGTGTTTTGATTGGTAAAGTATAGATATTATGGTGGTCGTATGATGATTCTGTTGACCTTGATAATCATCTATGATTTTGCTGTGTTAGCATTTGATATGTAAAGATGTGGTAAAGCTGTGATTTGATAAATGGTAAACAGCTATTATTACTCATCATATTTTTGTTTCCAAGGCTTTGGAAACACATGATCAGGTTAAAATGAGATTTCTGTGACTTTTAAATTGTTGTGAAATAGAATCATTACTAATTTTACCCTCTTTTCCTTCAACAGATGACTAAAAAATGGTAAAAACCTATGGAGCAATGGTTCAAACCCTTTCTCTACTTCTGAAGTTTGCCATCAGGGGCTTATCAATCCACTATGATCATTTCTGTGATGTAATATGATCTTTCACTCATTGTTTAATTAGATTTTTAAGTAATTTATCCAACAAAAGGTGATTGTTTTCCTATCACCAAGTAGTTTTATCATTGATTTGCTTGTATTGTCTTTCTTTTGTATTAAAAACATAAAAAATGAACCTGAATGTTAAATCTAAACCTATTTTTTAGGATAATTAAAATTCTATCTTTGTATTTTAAGATGGAAGAAACAAAAAGTTGAGAATGATAAATTAAGTAATTCATGGTTAGACTTTAATGTGTGTTCCAGTGTCAAGATTATAGTTGTTTGGAATTTTAATAAGAGCTCCTGTTTGAATCATTGTTCCATACTAATTGTTAAAAAAACTAAGCTTTTGATTGGTACCAATGCATAATGTCATTACCACAGTGTGAATGAAGAGATTCAAATCTCATCATTTGTTGCTACCCCAGTCATGAGATTGGTGTGCCCCAGAGCAATAGGGACACATGGGGCTAGTTGATTACATGCAGCTTCCTTGTGACCCACACCTTGGCAATCAACCAGGTGGGAGGGGGTTCACTGAAACTTCGATTCTGTTCAATGGCAGCCTCTACCTTGCCATACTTTTGTGCATGCTGCAAGCATAGATTTGTCGAGTGTCTTGAAGCCAATCAACAGTGAGGAATCATGCTTTGATGAGTCTTCAGCCATATATTTTTTAAACACCTCACAAAGAGTGTGTTATTGAGTAGATCTCTGTTCCATGTCTTGAGGAGGTCCATGTCTTCCAGGGAAGTGGGATTAAACATGGTAGGAATAACATGTACAATAAGCAAGTTCACCTCTTGCTTCAGTTCTAGGTTTGGCAAAACCTTTGTCAGCCCTTTTGTGACTTGACCGTGTAGCACTTGTTCTTGTTTTTGTGATTCTAACAAAATCACCACATCATTGGATGGGAAAAAATGGATGTTTTGGACCAGAATAGAGGAAAATTTCTTCAGGGACACCTTTATCTTGTTATCTTTTACAACCACATTAAGGCTCTTCATGAGCTCAGGGATGGACTTTTCTGCTCCCGAGACTTTTTGGAGTCTTGTTGGGTAAGCATGAGAAAGGCTTCCCATCTCAGTCAAGCATTTTGTTTTTTTGAGCACAAGGGCTTGAATGGCTTTGATTATTCCTAGTGCATGTTTCAATGAAGATATGAGCTCTTTGCTTGGCTGGTTTGTTTCGATTGTGATTCTTGCTGCTGGTCTGGGATAACAGCTGTCACCATCTTTTCCATTTGTTTGGCTAGTGTGTCAAATTTTGCTAACCATGCTTTGTTTTGGAATTCAAACTGAGTGTTTGATACAAAAGAGAAGGGTTAGAGGAAGGGAACCGTCTGACAGCTTGGGTCAAACGCGGCATGCCAAGCCTCCATGAGGCCGGCTTGCTCCTGGATCAAGCAGATTGATGTTGACTGCTGAATCAATATCAATGTTGACAGATTTGGTTTGATTTGATTTGGGAACCAGACTTGCTTTTGATCCATCGAGCAATTTCTGTATCAAATCACCAAAAGTTCTGGAATCACCTCTTGTTTCCTGTGTAACCTACCCAAACTGAAGTTTCATGCATTGCTATAAACAAAAGAGAAAAATGGAGAGATTTGGTCTGTAGAAATATCAGAGGCTGATAGGTATTGGTTTGGTACAGATAATCAACTGAATGTAAATCAGCTCAAGCCTTCAAAGCAAATAGTTTGTTTTTTCACTCAGTCAATCGATTCTACTCAGAACTGGGGTGACATTGTGAAAATGCTTAGTGCGGGCAATTGAGGTAGATGAGTGTAACTCTGACTGCAAACACAGTACATGTCATTCTGAGTAAATCAAAAGAATCGAGTGGGGCAAGTAGGACTTGAGGCCAAATTGTTTGTTTTATAATTAAGTGGCATGATTTGATGTGCTACATGTGATCATGTTACCTGGAAAAAAGACTTGTGCTTTGCCCTTGAAAGTCACCAAAAGCAAAGTATGATAAATCATGAAGATTAAGGCCAAGATATCAGGTCAAGGAAACTCCAATGGATTTTGAGAGAGATACTGAGTTGGGTAGATAAAGTTATAGATACTAAGAGAGATACTGAGTTGCGTAGATAAAGTGATAGATACTAATGCCCACTTGAGGCAGACCATCTACCAAAACCGACTTCTCCTGCAAATAATCCCAAGATGATAGCGATGAAAAAGTAAACATTGAAAGTCATGACAGCAAGCTGAAAATCACCAAAGAAGACAAAATCATATTCTTAGTGTCGATCGAAAGTTTCAGATCAGGAGCATAAGCAAGAACCGTACCATGAGGAAGTAATCAAGCCCAGAATGTACGGCGGCAAGTATACCTCTTGGGATGTCATGTTCAGCAGTCCAGGGTGCGATTTGACGACAACCCTTCTTCAAAGATTCAGTGACCGTATCAGGTTTATCGGATTTATCGACTGATTGCTCATTTGCTGCGAGTTCTTCCCATTGGATTTTTGACCAAGCACGGTGAGCTTGGTGTCTTAATGCTCCAAGAAGCTTGCTGAGTATCGCTAAACCGAATAAGCCAAGACAGGCAGCGAAAGTTGTACCAGCCGTTTTAGGTTGCCATCCAGCAAACCATAAGGGAGTCACGGGTAGTGAGGCTGTAAAAGAAGTCATCCTGCAGAGAATCGATGGGAATTGACAAATTGATGAGCTATCGATTGGGAACAAGCACAAATGAAAAAAGCGCTAACATGGAGCCACTTGAGCTGTTCGAGGACATCCCCGACATATCCATTCCGGACATAGAGGACATATCCATTTTTAGGTGAGTTGTTTATCAAAAAGATTTGAAAGACAGCCCGGCTGGATGAGAATTGAACGAGGCACGGATCGATGGTGATTTGAAGCTGAGTGTCAAGAGGGACTAGAGACCGGCCTCTGAATGAAGTCTAGGTGATGTTTGAAATCCGGATTGTATCTACACTGGAAGAGGAGTGTATGTATGCTGATAATGATGTCGGGGTTGGATGAAGATGATTATGTGCAATTGATTGATGCTATTAATAGCCTGGTGACCGTGTGAGTTTATATATAGTCAATGAAACCGAATTGGGTTGCGGTTGAATGATCGCAGTCAGGATTTGATTAAACCTGTTTCGGTAAGATAGTTTGAGAAGCTAATGTAGACTTCCACCGTTTTGAATTATCCACGTTTAGTTGAATGCAATTCTTTAGAGTATGGTCGAGACTGATAATCTTTTCATTCAAACTGCTCTTTGAAAAGTTCATTCAAAGTGATGTGATGTTGTTTTGCAGCAAAAGTCGGGTCTGATTGGCATTACCGGTACCGGTCGAATTTCATGATCGGCCCAATCGAGAGACCGCCATTCTTTGCGGTATGGTCCGCTGATTAATTTCGGGTAATGACCAAAGATGATCTGCCAAGGTTCGAGTCGCCCAAGATGCATCTTAAATATTGTCTGAGTTATGTTTGATCATGTTGTGAAATTGTGACCTTAAAAGTGGATTGTTGTTCGATGTAATGTACATTTATGAGGTGATTAAATCCGTTCGAAAGGATTATGAGCCACATGATACAAACCAATGAGAAAGGTGAAGCCTCAAACCTTATGCAAAACCCCAGGCATTCGTAAGTTTGTAGGGTTCGAAGGAAAAAGGTTGCCGACGCCATTAGTTTGAAGGTCGTCCGCCATTCCTCGCCAGGTTGGGTATTAGTTGATGTTGGGAGATTGAGTTATATTTTCAGAATAGTTTGAGGCCATAGTGAAGCGATGGGAGCCAGAATGGATTGAATGTCAGAGTATTGAAGTGCAGCGATTCAAGTGTGGAAGGCTGTCTATGCGATATCGGCTCGAATGTCAGTTGATGATCGAAAGAGCTGAAGGGGAAAGTGAGACTGAGTGGTGAGTGAGATGATGATGAGAATGGGTTGAAGTTGAAGTGATGATCAAGTTCATTCAAATCTTGGATTGAGTTCATTTTGCCTGGTCAATTGACTTCTTGAGTCATTTTGGCTACATACAAGCAAAAATGTCGCAATTGATCAAGTTGTCACTGTATGCTTGTAACTGTATTTTGGAATTTCAGTCCTATCCGCCTCTGTCCATGACTTCGGAACCCAGACAGTCATCAAATCTTTCTCAACTGGCCCCATCGGTATCTATCACTGCACCTTTGACACAGCCAAATCACAGAATTCGAGCTCAAGTTGAAACTCGGGATTAGCCATCATGGGGAGAAATGTACATGGAGTTCTTGATTTTTGGCGGCAATGTATGACATCATTTGATCCTGATCATTGATCGATACAGTAGGAGACAATGCAGTGTAGGATGACTACATAGCTGACTTGGAAAGTTAATGATGACTAGTTTCAAAGGGAGTGGTGACCGCCCAAAATTGGAGAGGAAGCCGGATCAAAAGATTCATTAGTAGCGTTGAGAAATTAGGGTTCCAAAAAACATCACAAAAATATAATTAAAGTACAACTTGATAAGCTCTGATGTGTATGAAAATATATATGTGGTTAAAATTATTCAAAAATCAATAAGTATGATGGAGAAAAGTGATGTGTTCAAGTCAGGTTGATAAATTTGTTTTAGCTGTGACTACCATGACCATGACCAAATCTTCCAAACATTACCTCACCGACAAAATGTCCAAAGACAATGGCCAGGAAGAAGTAAACGTTGTATGACATCACAGCCAACTGGGTATCAGATGAGGAGTTCGTTAGTTGCCAAGCTTCCCATTCAACTTTTATGCAAGATGCGCACCATGAGAAAATATTCCAATCCAGCATGAATCCCAGCAAATATTCCTCTTATAATTTGATGTGAAGCCCATGCGGGTATGGATCGTCTCTGTTGATACTCCGAAGCTGCTATGGTACTATTATCTTCAGTCTTGTTGAGCGTTTCAGAGGTCACAGAGACATCGTGCCATTGTTGCGTTTTCCGTGGAAGGCTTGCTTGATGACGGAAGGCACCCATCATCTTGACAACCATAGTCAATCCGAACAAACCAAGACAAGCCGCGAAAGTGGTACCGGCAGTCCTGGGTTGCCAACCTGAAAACCACAGTGGACCAGTAGGTAATGATGCGCTAAATTGCGACATCCTAAAACCACAAGTAGTTCGCTTTTAGCAATCGAACTTATATTAATGCGATGATTCATTTTCAAACTCACATTGACATTCCTTCGGAGTTCGAACCCATACCATGGGTATTGGATAGCATGTCATGGGTTTCGTGCGACATACCAGACATATTCATGTCGGGCATTTCCATTCTGTGTGAGAGGAGGGTTGAACGGAATGAGCTTTTGACATAGGTGGAAATACGGTCGGTTGAAGTGAAATTTTCAAAGCCTCTTACATGCAATTGTCGAGTCAGGAATCTGTCACCGTTACACTTGGCCTAGATGAAGTATGGAAGACTGAGAGACACGTCGAAATTGTAGATGTGAGGATTACAATTTGTGGATCTCACTTCGAGGGACAGAGGTTATTGAGGCGGTCTGTCAAAGATTAAGCCTAGGGATTGAGACTCGAGGGGATTAGATGGGTTACTTAAATACGGTCCGAATACTTTGAAGGCCACGTATGTAGTCGTGAAGCCCAAGTAGCCTACAGCTAATGTGCTCCGAAACTTGTCACAAAAATTGCTACTACCTATTTGAACTACATGAGAGACCGTAGCAAATGAGGATGGTAAACGATTGAGTCGCTTACTCGGCGGCGGCAATGAGATGCATGTAATGAAGAAATGATCCGTGGCAGATCAAAACTGATCGGAGAAAGCCTTGGGCAGGCCAAGAATCTTCAAACAAAACTGAGAACGTCTGACTAAAGGGCGCTATAGTCTCACTGGCCGAACCAGAACATCTGTCCGTAAAGTCGTCCGTGTGAGCAATTTGATTTTGATTCAACGGATTGTCGCTCTTTAAAGTGCCGCTCAAGAAGTGCCTCCTTTCAGAAAACCCTCCCCTTCAACAATATACATACAAGACATCAGAATTGGGACCCAAAGTGGTGACAGCACCTAAATAACATGAGGTCTCCCGAGGCCTACCGCTCATGAGGTGCGCTTGGGTGGATGAGCACAGAAAAGCCGCAATATCTTTGAAGAGATGTGAACGGTTTGTTCAAAACGTCGACTTTTCCAAAACAGGGTACCCAACCAGCCTAACGTCACGCCTTTCAAAGGTGAGCAGCTTGAAGCCAAAGATCGGGTCCGATTGCGTAGCTTATTTCAGAAGCGTCGCGCAAAGCAGACACGTTTTGTCGGACCGCCTGTTGCAGAACTTGACGGAAGTTGACTAAGTTTGCACAAAGCGGATTTAGATCAATCAAACAAAATGCTCGCAGATTTCTCAATTCGCAAAGGAGTTTCACACACATCGACGTCTTGGCAGACTTGTGGATCTTTTTGGAGGGACAGGAATTCACGATCTTTTAAAGTCGTAAGTATGACTGTGACTCTCGTACAGGGAGATTCTGTTGAACTTCTTTGGGTCTCCAAACTTCATTAGCTTTACAACTTCGATGCGCCCTCGATACGATCCACTCAATCCAAGTTGTTTTTGAAGGAAAAAGACGTGCTATCATCGAAACAAAAAGCAAGTTAGAAAGACATCTGCCTATTACGACCCACAATGCAGCTACCAATTCTTCATATTACGCGGTGAGATTTACCCATTTCAATAGAGCAATATGGAACCCGATATTATGTTTCCTTGTTTGAAAGACAGCAACACGGGCCTACTCACGCTCGGCTTCTTGGGGACATCTTGAGTGTCATTTCAAACTTCAACCTAAACACAGAAAAAGAAAAGTTATTTCAATACTGAGAAAGTTTCTTGATCTCAGTCACCTGTGGTGTAATTGAAAAGATTTCCAACCGAGAAAAACAGTTCTTCTTTGTCACAGTGTCCACAGATATTTCATGAATTGCATTCATGAAAGATTGGAAGTGACTTAATATAAAGCTTACAAAGGCAAAGAGATAAAATACAAAAATGACAAACCGAAAGTGAAGGCTAAGAAAACTACAAGGATGAAAAGAGGAAAAACTAAGAGAGAATCCGCCGCACTCGATCGAATCTGTTCGAAAAGAGAATGATAAGAGGGGATAAACACAAATAGAGAACATAGAACTGAAACTAAATCCACAACTATCAAGAGGCTAAATGGGAGTGAACATGAAAAAGAAGGTGTCTTGCCGTGATCTGGCCCAAGTGGTCATCAAGTAACGAGTGGTGGATGAAAGAATATGAAACTAAAGAATGACAAAAACACTGGGTGAAAACATAAGCGCCGATGCCATAGTTGAGTATCCTGACAAATGTCTTCCAGTTGGCTTCTGACGTGGAAAAACATTCGATTTTTTAAGAGCATCAATAGAGCAAAAGAGTCATATATGAGGACAAGAAGCCAGATATCACATCAATCAAATTGAACAATCGTACGATCACAGCGATTTCCTGACTGACCTTGCCATAAAATAAGATGAATGGAGATCTGTTCATCAACGATGAAACCATTGACGTCATTCAGAAGGCAGTATAATGCGTCGGGGGCCTCTGATGCGATACTGAAGGCGGTTAAAGGTGGTTGATTGCGAGGTATTGTAACGAGGGATGCGATCAAAAATAGGTGAGCTTCAAGATACATTCTTTTTCACTCATCTGAGAGGGACATATACTCACCCATTGGATGAACCGTTCGCGGGAGGACAAAGAACGATCATCCATGTACTGGCTCACGCTGTAGTCGATTGATGCGGACGAAGCAGAGTCGATGGAATGAAGCGAATCCACCGGAGAACTCGGAATTCCAGAGGAGCGAAAATCATATTTCTCCTGTTGATGCAAGTTGGATTCGGGAGAAGCGGTATCAAACTGAACACAAGAGTTCGGCGTGTCAGTTTGGTTCTCGGATTTTTCGACGTCTCCACTGGAATGACCTTCATTAACGTGTTGGTCAGAGTTTTGGGTAACTTCGAGTTTCCCAGCTTCTTGGGGACCACTTTCAATCATCGCGGAGATCGGAGCTTTTTTGGCGATGACAGTATCAATGACTTTCACTGAGGGCTTCAGTCGGGGTCGTAATATAGATCGAGGGGTTCAGAGCTACTGAATTATGATTCCTTCATGAGCAAGAGGAGTTTATATATCCATTTCCATAGTCGATGAGCAGATGCTTGTGAACCAAAAATGGACTGGACCTGAGTATCTATGAAACATTTTCAAAGTAACCCTTGCCCTCTCAACAGGTTTTCCTATGAAGCCAATGCTATTCTCATCATATCTGTCGTCTGGATGCACAGGTATTGGGTTCGCGAATGGACCTACGCTAAGTTCTCCTCCAATTAATCTCCTAACGGAACTCCCTTTCATGACCATGAGCGTTTTGGAGTGTGGTCTCAAGCTCGGTCCCTGTTCATTTTGCATCCTAAAGATTTGCGTGATACTGTTAGTCAATCGCTCGCCCGGTGTTGCCCTGCCTCAAAAGTAGCTGAAGCGAGGAACTCGTGAAGCGCCTCTACGTGTTTAACATGGCAGGCACATGTCAGAATCGGAGATCTTCATCATAAACTGTTTGCCCTTCGAGGTAAGATGGGCCGGGTGTTTCAACGAGGACTTTGCTCATCAGTAAAGCGAACAAAAAGCAAAATCAGGTCATATTCGGTTCCAGATCCCTGAGTGTAAGCCACCGTGTGAGCGCCGTTACGTAGTTGGTTATATGGATGTAGGATCAACTTGGTGGAACCTGTGAAAGGCTGAGGGTCTCTCGAGCACAGGGAAGCGCGGGTTCTACTCTGACGATGTGCAACAAAAATGGCACCACGACAGGCTCCCCCAATGAGCCTGGTCGAGCCCTCACTAGATTTTTTCCTCTCGTTCTATCTTTCGCAGCTTGTCTTTCCTTCTCTCGTTCCTAGTAGTTGTTCAGCAGAAAAAATCACAAAAACATTTGTTGCCTGCGTAGTGTCAATCCGATATCATAACCATCATACACTTCAGACAGTCTCCCTAGTATCTCTCAGTTCATAGTATCGAATTGTTTCTTTCCAACAATATCTTTTGTTCCTCGCCCACCACCGTTTTGTCCCCTTCAAACATAGGGTCAAGCTCTACCTAGAGTTTCACGTGGATTTTTCAAAATTCATGTCATCACTTTCTCTTCTCAACGAGTAGGACAGCGCTGGAGTGGAGAAGCTCAGCACCCAGTGTGGCCGCCCTCAGTACATTATCATACTCCGATTTCTGCCAAGTCCCCCATTTGGGGCGACATCGTGCATTCACGCACGGCCCCAGGGCCAAGTCAAGAGTAATACCATTTGACGGTGACCCTTGTCCCCGCGCCTAGACCAATCCCTCGAAAATGTTAATCCAGCCTCACTAGGAGTCAGAGGACAGTATCTCTGTTGGGGTTTTTGTTGTATGACACCCTTGATCAAAAAAGTGCGCGGAAGAACTCAAAACATCTGTAAAATCAGCGGAAGTTTGATCCTTGGGTCCCTTGTGGTTTTCATGTCCCCCTGAATCTTGATAACACCTTTAACTAAGCTTGTATTCTGAAAAAATCGTACAAAACTATATCATTTGGGCTGGTGTGATGTGTCTTGGGCAGTATTTGGGATATCAAGCGTTCCGATCGTTCCCCTGAATGTGGCCGAGATTCTCGATGTCCCGACTCCCACCTTGCATCTTGCGGGGACCGCTGCAGTGTTTTTTGGTGTTTTAGCCCCCTGCATGTTAGAACCCGGGAGATACGAGCTCTGCTGATTCTCTTACATTGACTGCTGTAGTACAAGCATACGAGGGGACATTGTGCTCCAAGAAATTGCTTGTGGTCTGCGCAGGGGGAGCGGGTGTTGCCGGCACATCAGTCAAACCATATCTGCGTATTCCAGACCTCCTAAAATTTACGTACTCCTGATCGTCCCAGAGCGCTGATATTGTATTGAAGACCTGGGACCTGGGACCTGTGACTGGTGATGGTGTTGGCTTCACCTCTATGCTCCCACTGGCTGCGGTCGTATCACATCAAGCACAGAAATTCCAAATCACCAAAACGATTTACGTGATCTGCGCAAAGAACAAAAGATCAAAGGGCGTGACGAAGCCACAATCAGCTTTTCACAAGTCAGAAGCAAACATGATACGACTCTCCAGAAGGCAATGCGGGGCATCGTCGCATCGTGTTTTATGGTGTGATGGTCGGGAAGAGTTGAACAGACAGCCAATCAGCCGGTCTTCAACGAGTATAAAAGGACATCTGATCTGCTGATCACTTGCTCATTATCCTAGCATCTAATTGGTTTATTTGTCTACCCAATTGTCTTGGTTTGTTCCCCTTCCATCTCCATCAGCCGACCGGCTACCTATGCTGTGTAGATCTTTCCCAAACAAATCGAGCTTACATATGACTATTCTCTTTGCGCGTTTGATCGATTTAGATACAATCGTTTTTCATCGGAGCCCAGACCAAACACGGTTTATCAAATTCCATTCATTTAACCGCCTGGTGAGCCTTGAGACAGTTGATCTATTAATCTTCATCACAACTTTCCACAACTAAAACTGGGTCAATCAATTAGCTATTGCATCATGAATCTCAGATTCATCACTGCCATGTCCGTCATTGGTGCATCATTGAATCAAACCTTTGGTACAGTGATCAACACTCTCAAAAGCAAAGAGGTAGTCCAACCAGGTCAAGCTCCTTTGGCCAATCATGTAGACATGACTGAGTGTTCCAATTGTGACAAATGTAAAAGTGCCTACAATCACTGCCTAGAATGTATACCGTTGGGAAAACATGGGTCCTCAAAGTAGCGTAGGCTGAGCCGGAGAGGGGAAGAATCACTATTTGTCAGAGTGGGTGAAACTACAAGCGCTGTGGAGCTGCCCTCTACCTTTGAAAATGATTTTGAACTTAAGGGACTTCTCTAATTTCAATTCTTTGTCTTTTTTGAAGTTTCTCAAAACCTGATTGTCACCGTCACCCCAGGCAAATTGAGGTCATAGAGTGAATACAGGCTACACGGTCATGTTGAAAACAGAATATATTCCCACACCCTGGGTCATGTCACAGCTGCATGACATGTCTTCATGTAGCACACCACTGCCAGTCATACCAGTGACATGTGTGAGGAGCCTACAAGAACAATGCAATACAGACTGTGTGAGTAAGGCTGCGACCCGGCCCTGGCCCTGGGAAACCCGGACTGCCCGACCTCTTCACCTTGCTAGGCAGGGCTTTGGCCGAGGCTTCTGAAACCCGATGATAATACGGGCAAAAGCCTCGACCGGGGCAGGCCGGCCGAGGCCAGCCGAAGTGGCCGAGGCTGTGCAGTTCACGTGGTGGGCGCGGGTTTTGAATTTTGGGCAGGCCCAGGCGCGGATTTTGACTGTTCCAAAAGCACGCCTATAGTGGGGGCGCAGAGGCGTGCCTCTGAGGTGTCAAAATCCCCCCAAAAATCAAAAAAAGGCAAAAAAACCCGCTCAACAACATCAGAAAGGACTTTTTTGTATTTCATAACAGTTCTGCTGTACACCTCATGAACATTCATTGAAGTAAACCATTGAAAAGATTCTCCTCATCCCAATCTTCATTGTCAGATCCCTCATCTAAAACAATAGTAACAGCTTGTTCTGCTTCAAATCTAATATTGAATAATGTTAAATCAAAGAGAGTGTCTATAAAACCACTCTCAGTAATATCCTCTTGCTCTTCTCCCTGATCCACCTCATCTTCACCATGAATTCCATTTTCAAACTCTTGAACTTGATCAAGATCTTCAAATTGAGGATCTAGATCTTGTGAATCATCAGCAGCAGCAGTTTGATCGTTGATGTTGATCGATTTGGCCACACGATTCGGTTGCTCGGATTCGAGATCCATCTCGATTTGAGACATCATCTTTAATGTTGAGACATCCATTTGAGCGCGCGACTTAGTCTTTTGAGAACCCATCCGCGAAAAGAGGCTTTCAACACCCGCAGCGTGGGGTACAATTTCTAAGAGCTTGATGGTGAACGACTTGAGCTCTTGAGTCTGTGGATTAGCTGGTACCTTCAACCAGTAATTCATGGCAGATGAACCTAAACAATAATCAAGATTAGTTACATTATCACATCCGATATGATAATGAGAAATCACAACTTGCCATCTGGAGGTATACGAAATGGACCCTCGGAGTTGTAGTATTGTAAGACTTGTGTGATCAGGTTTTTACATTCAATCTGTTTGAACTTCCAAACTTTTGCAATTTTGACAATAGCTCGCGTGAAGTAATTGATATCGTATTTTTGAGACGCAGCGATTTGACGAAACTGAGGTGTCAGGAAAAATCCAAGGATGTAGGCCGGTTCGTCAAAGACTTTGCATCGCTTGTTGATTATTTGAATACAGTGAGACTTGAAAGTTGAATATTGAGATTCAACTTTCATATCTTTGAGCTTCATGTACAACACAATCACCTCGCTCCAAACTTCACCAACGGTAGTATTCGCGCGTTCTAATTTTGCAATTGTATCAACAACTGGCTGGAGTACTCGGACTAAGACATCATTTGAAGCAAAGTGAAGACAATTGAAAACGATGTCCCTGATACTCTTCTTCATTGAAGGCGCATCGGTTGATCGATCGATCAAAGTCTTGACACATTTTCGAAAACCGAGTTCGTGTGATTGAACAGACAGACAGACTTTGGCAAAAGAGAACCATCGAGTCTCGGAGAAACTTTTGATTCCGTGTCCGACTTTCTCAGTAACTCGCCAACTCTCTAACCATTGAATCCAATAATGAGCTTTGGTGAAAAAATTGACTAGTTCTTTGTTGTTGGAGACGACCTCTCTCATGCTTGGATGCGACAGAATGTCTTTAGTAACTAAGTTGATGACATGAAGACAGCAAGGTAAGGTGATGATCGCTGGATGTTCCTCAGTAATGATTTTCTATCATTTGACAAAGGAGATAAACGTTCATATCAGATTACAAGACAGTGAGAAGAAAGAAGAAGCCTTGACAAGTTGACTTACACGAAACTTTATCATAACTGCTGGAGAATCAGTGACAACAGCACTGATCTGATCCCATCAAAGACCCTGAGCCTTGAGAGTGTCATTCAAAGCGGAAAAGGTGTTTTCAGAGGTATGTCGCTTTTGATTCAATTCGAGAACATCAATGAATTGCTTGAGTTCAGTGCCTCGTAAAACTAAAACTGCGTATATACTGTTTTTTGATACGTCAGTCCAGCCATCTAAAGTGATAGTCAAGTTTGACTGTTTCGCTAACTTCTCCTTGATTGCTATCTCGTGTTTAGCATGTAACATTGGAAGTACATTTTCCATCATCCGATAACGAGTAGGAGGCTTGAATACACATACAGCTAGCATTTTTTGATAGTTCAAGAAAAACTTGTTGTGAAGGAATCTAAAGGCTACCTTCCCCGAGATGAGGGATTTCAAAAGCTCTTCGTCAAGATCAGCTAACTTGGCCTTGTCGTACGTTCTGAAGTGATGCAGTGAGCTGAAATCATGGATGAATTTTGACTTTGGAACCAGTGAGGGAGCGCCATCATCACTTGAGCCAGTTTCCGTTGCAGGTTGAGAGTTTGATCGCCCAGTCTTCTCATTATGCTCAGCAAGTATGAGCTGTTTGTATTCTGACTTTTTTGAGATTGAGATTGACGGGCATTTCTTGGTGATATGATTAAATAATCCACTTGGCTTTCCATCCAACGTAGCCTTACAGTGCTGACATTGAGCCCGGCGGCGGTTTGTTGATGTGTTCAGTTCAGCAGACATCAAGAATCCTGTCCATCGCTTTCCAAATCCGACGGTAGGTTGGTTCCACTTGGCTGAGGCGGACTTTGACAAGGAGGATTTGACTTTTGGCATGATATGGAAGTATTATATTGCTGACGGTGGCTTTGAGATTGAGGATATGTTGTAAGGTGAGTACTTTGAAGTGTGATTTGAATTTTTTTCACACAGTAACTTGGTGGAATAGACCTAAGTCTAACTTGGGCACGCCACCCCCAAAATCGGCTCCAAAAGGCCTGCCCTAGAGGCCTGCCCCTGGGGCAGGCCAATTGCGCCCCGCCCACCACGTGATGTGCAGTACTTGATCTGGAGTTTTGAGCTGCTGAGTCAGCACTCTTCAACTCTATTACCATGCCGGCCAATCGGAATTCAACGAGGCCTTGTGATATCCAGGCCACCAAGGAGTCAGCCAGCTCAGCATCTACTTGCTGAGCAACTGGTATCGCTCCCCTCTCCCCCAAAAACACATACTGCGCCTTGAGGCAACCCGAGTGCTCTCTGAGGTGCCCTTGGGTCAGAGCAGGGCTTGGCCCTGTCTTGAGGCCGACCCGGGTAGCAGCCTTATGTGTGAGCAACTTATAGCTGTGTGACATGTACATTTCAGTACATGCTCAAATACATGTGATTGGTATGATGCCTGACAGGTGCACCAGGTCCAGACATGCATTCAGGCCCGCACAACCTGTATGGACCTCAATTTGCCTGGGGTGACGGTGGCAATCAGGTTTTGAGAAACTTCAAAAAAGACAAATAAGTAAAATTAGAGAAGACTCTCAAGTTCAAAATCATTTTCCATCAGTTCTTAGTGTTCACTGTCTCAGATGTTTTATTTATGTGTGTATTTTATCTCTTAGTTTCTATTATCTATACTTACATGCTTAAGTACTTATTATATATTATCACTATTCGCACATAAGCTCCACTCTAATCCTTGAAGTCTCTATGTGTTACCTTCCTCTCAAGAGGTAGGTATCACGTGTTTGGGGGGGGCCTAAGGCCGTGGACTCCCTGGATAGGGTGGTTCTCTGCGCGGCGGGCAAAGGGGCAGGTGGGAGGAAAAAGAAATTTTTGTGATGGGATAAGAAAGCTGTGGTGATTCTTTCTTATTGAAAGTGAGATTGGGAGATAGTGGTAATCGCGAGGACAGAGATTTTCACCTGTCCCTGCGTTCTCTTTGATATCTCTAGCTACACAGTGTCATTTTACTAGTCACTGGCAGGCCAGTGAGTTCCATTCACCTCAATTCAATCTCAATCTGATGTCAGTTCAAACTCAAATCAATGTCAGTTCAATATCAAATTGACCTCAAAATCAGTTTGAGTGGGGGATATGCATGGGCTGCATATACCTGCAGATCCGCATTGAGCTAGTTCAGTACTACAGCTTAAAATGAAAGTTTATCCTCCAAAATCTTCTGGTGGCTTCTTGTTACTTTCTATGTATGGTGTACTGCATTCTGAAAGTTTTACAAAACAGATTATATTGCAAAGATTGAGTAGTCTAAAGGTTTTACCTTCCTTGCTTGTTTTGATACTTCACACACAAATGTAATAGCTACTATCAGTCCATTTGATCACAACCCTGGTAATAACTAATCTTTGAATGAAGTTTGGTTCATGTTGTCCTGAAGTTAAAGAACCAAGCCATGCTCTTACTTCCTTTTGAGATAGTTTAATTGGATCCTGACCTCATCTTAGCTTCTGATTTTAACATTCTGCCACAATTCAATAAAGATACATTTGCAATTTGTTCAAAAATTGAAGGTCTAGATGATGTATTGACTAAATTTCAATATAACTTGATAATTCCTTTGCAAAAATTCTTGTACTGAGGTAGATGTAGGCGCTCAACTTCAGCAGGTAAAGTAAGCATAAGCTTGGGGTACAGAAATTTTTATTAACCTCTGAAGGATGAAAATCTTTCCATGAAAAATTCCTTCAGTCTTGATTAATTGAGGTCTCCAATTTGATCCTGTTTGATTTGCATCAACATCTTGGCATGAAATCCCAAGCAACCCATTGTGGTAATCAAATCATTAGATGATTTGAATCAACTCACTACTATTTCATGGCACCTTACATCAACATTATAACCAATATTCCCTTTAACCTTTCCTTCAAACATGAATGTTTTTTGTTTTTTGATCATCTTTCACAACTCAATCTTTCATTTTTGTACATCATTTTCCATTTTTCATATTCAAATGCTTTCTGTGTGATTAAATTTCATTTTAGAACATTAGGGTTCAGTGTGAATTATCCAATTAAACAAACATTACAAGAAAGAAAAATTTGAAGTTTCCAATTACAACAACAAGAACAAGATGCAAGGAAATGTAAAAAATAGATGAAATTCATTGATTGATTGATTGATTACCTAACCCTACAAAAGAAAATAAACAAAACAAACTAGTAATTGAGTGGGTTGATCTAATTAAAGCTCACTGGAAACATTCAAATCAAAATTCAATTAAGAAAGAACTGGAAACACATTTAACAACATAAAGGACACTACAGTTAGTAAAGAAAGGAATCACAGAAGAGAAGAATCAGATGACTTACCATTGAAACATTTCATTTGAAAAAGATTGAATTTAGACAAGTCATAAAGAACAAGGAAAAGAAGAATGAAACAAAATCAAAAAAGTAGAAAGTAGAAAGATGAATCAATCAATCTAGAAAGCACAAAAGAAATTTAATCAAAATAAAGTGAAGAATGTAAAAGGAAGAAAGAAGTTGATTAATTTTAGGTAGAAGAATCAAAAGAAGAGAAAAAAATTAAAAAAATTAAAAGAAATACAAAAATAGAAATGAATTACCTTTAGAAATTGAACTCGATTGGTGAAAATAGGAGGTTGAGCCTGAGGTGAATGATGGAAATAAGCCAAAAGATGAGTGTGGGAACTTGAGTGGTATGTATACACTCCCCCACAAGCCGCGACCTGCAGGGGTGTGTAGATACCACTCTAGTGCTAGATTATACACACCTCCACAAGTCGCGACTTGTGGGGGGTGTATATATACCACCCAAGTTCTGGATTTGGGTTTTTGACCAAATTGTATTGTTAAACCAGGTATTTCCTGAAGAAGTCATTAAAGGCACAGTCTAATCATTTCAGCTCATATGTATGTTGAACCTTCATGATTTAAGACTTAATCTGATCCCTCAACCATACATTCATCATTTCCTTCATAGTTTGAAATTACCATATTTGCAAAAGCCAAAACTACTAGTTTCCAAAGTAAAAAAATACACTTTCCCAAAACAAAAGTATATCAAAAACCTATGTACAAATAAGATGAAAAGCCCAACATAGTAAATGATATGAATTGAATGAATTATTGTCCATTCAAGTGAAAAATGTATATATATAACAAACCAATGTATTGATATCACAAACCAAAAAACAACCACTTTATCACCCATCTTGTCCCTTTTCCTATTTTCATTTCTTAATATGATAGTTATATCTATGATTATGAAACCTCCTTCCCAACAAAGAATCCCAACATATCTATATAATCAAGAGCTGTCACCTTCTGCTTTATAGGAGAAGTTTTTGGAAGGGGCTTAGAAGGATATTTGGTTGTGGCTCATCTGAAAATCACTCATACCTTCCAAAAATTCTGAGACCTTCATGTGTGGACATGCAACTAAACTTTATTTCAGTTCATTTTGGAAGACTGTTTGTCTGCTCCTCTAGGCCAAAAATTGAGATTGGATTGAGATTGAACTGACATTGTTTTGAGATTGTTTTGAGATTGTTTTGAGATTGGATTGAGGTGGACGTACTCACTGGCCTGCCGGTAACTAGTAAAATGACACTGTGCTAGAGATCTCGGGGCTGAATTCTTTCGGGCCTATCATCTTCAGGGCCGCTATCTCCAATCTCTTATGGAACTCTTTGGGTACCGTCGTGCCTTTGGGCACCCAGAGCATCTTCAGGATGCACCGCGGATATATTTGCATACAGACGTCGAGCCAGCGCCCCGTTAGTGGCTGTCGGGTCGTGTCCCCAATTTGGGACATGCCCAATGCCCTGACGCAAATAAGTGTCTTTGTGGTGTAAGCTCCACTCTAATCCTTGAAGTCTCTATGTGTTACCTTCCTCTCAAGAGGTAGGTATCACGTGTTTGGGGGGGGCCTAAGGCCGTGGACTCCCTGGATAGGGTGGTTCTCTGCTACCACTACTCGGGACATGACGTCCGGAGCCCGCGGAGAGCCACCCTGTCGTGATCCGAGTCTGTTGCTTAAAGTCGTTATGTCAAATGTCAAATGTCAATTCCCATTATTGGGTTTTTCTTGGTTTCAATGACCAATAAGTACAGACCAAGTCACGATATCCCTAATCATCAACTATTTCTCTTCAGTAATACCTCTCTCTACAATAATGCACTTCTGTCAATCTTCTACTACAAAGGTATGTCGCTCATTTCCAACATTCATCTCTTCCGGACCTTCCGTTTTCTGATAACCTGGTACTTCTCTCATAGTTTCTTCATCCTCCATTTTGCCCCACACATACTTCGCATCTTCTACTTGTTCTGACGAATACTTTCTCAGATATAATTGGTATGCTTTAGACTCCCAACGACCAACTCGGACAATATCTTCTAAAGGTTGACCATCATTCCACCTCAAGGTTGCTCCTCCAACTCGGAACGAGTGTCCGGTTAAGTGATTGTGAGGGTCCGCCGTTTTCCAAATTTTCTTGTAGATCACCATTACTTCCGACTTAGTTAACGTCTTCCTTTCTCCATTTTTGTTGACATACGAAAATAGCGGATCTTTCTGTGTCGTTCCATCATTAGATTCTACCAGCAAACACAAAATCCTAACTGGGTCTAACAAGGAAGGCCGTCGATGGAGATGTAACCATTGTATTTCGCCCGGTTTAGCAGTTTTAGCGTTGTAAATGGCTATCTTGATGAAATCGTACTTCCCTCCAAATAAAACATCTTTTACTAATATTTGTCTTTTCCCCTTCCTATCTGAAGCTAGCTCTCCTAATCTAGCCATTCCCCAAAATGCAGTGACCGCTATTGCTAATGCAGCTTGATTCTTAGGGCATCCGTCTGTGAGTCCTTTTAACAATTCAGCCATATGGCGAAGTTCAACAGGTCGTTTAGCTTCCTTTATCCTCTCCTTCCTACTAACATCCGCCACACTAACTGCTTTCAACAGGCGTTTGACAGTCGCATCATTTTCTTGAGGGAAAGGTTTGTTGTGAAATAAATGCCATGATCTAATTCCTGAGATGTATTTCGTGAGCGTCTCAGCTGTAACTTTATTACTCTTCTTATCAACTTCTAGTCTAAGTTCTTCACTGATCAACTTATTACTCGGTTCTCCTGCCCACGTGATGAATTCGTATAGGGCCATCGCGTTCAAGGGCAAGATGTCCTTCCTCGTTCGTCCAGTTTTCTCTGCGAACTTCACAAGTTTAGATACGGCCGACAAATAGTTTTCGAGGGTTGCTTGACTCCAGCTACCACTGAGTAGAGCTCTCTGAACGATGCTAGAACGCCATGTGATCGACCTACCACCGTATCATCATATTTCCCAACAATCAAGACATGTCAGTTCAAGTTGTAAGCCTACTGCATCTTCTTCTTGGTTTTTTTTTTTTTTGAACGTTACTTACGAAAACTCATTACTCAAAAACTGTACAATCTTCTTCTCATTTTCCATTTTTCCGAACGTGACGCTTAAGTAATGGCAGTAGGTCGTTTGGTATGTTTATTTTGACTTCGAAGTCTAGATCCCAATCACTAGTTCCACCTCTCAATAGATCGTCTGCTCGGTTGCTAGCAGATTCAACCCGACCAATGTTCAAGTCACACTGGAAGAAGGTAAGTGCCTTCTGGATGTGTTTCCACTCTTGATTAACTAACTTATCGCGTGATTTCCTATTTTGTATAACTGCTTCTGTAGTGGTGTTATCGGTCAACACCTGGAAGCATCTTCCGGCCGTAGGAAACAAATCAGACACGACTCTTAGCCCGAGTCGGATAGCCACCGTCTCTAGCCACGATATCCTACACTTCGGGCTGTTGGGTGGGAGACCTGTAGTATCCCACCCTTCGACCAATTCGAATTGAGCCCAGCGATTGCCTACTAGTATTCCTATCCCGAAATTTGGGCTGGCGTCCCCCACCCAACCTATATCTACGGGATCGATGTTGGGGATCAATCTTAATGGTTCAAATTCTAACAAGGTCTGTAACCATTCATTCAAATCGCCTGTCACCTGTTCAGGGACCTTCCTTGAAGCCTTCGAGTTATACCACGTATTTGTCCACCAGTATAAATCCCACATATAACATTTCATATGTGGTAAAATGTAAGTCAGGTGTCCTAGTTGACCCACGACTTTATCGATTTCTTTCAGGTTCCACCGTTTTTCTAATGTGAGTAAATCTTTTACTTGTTGTATCCTCTGTTTCAGTTTATCTTCTGGAAGTCTAACTGTTTTATTTTTCCCGTTCCAAATAAAACCTAAGTATTTTTGTTCTTCCTTCCAGTCACTAAATTTTTCACCATTGGACTGTACGCCTAAATTCTTTGTAACTTGTAATATGCTATCCATATCTAGTAAGTCTGTTTCTTCTTTGACGAAGAGATTATCATCTACCCATCTAAATATCTTCTTGACTCCAAATAAACAGGTTATCATATCTCGCCAAGCGTCCGCCATCCATCCAAAGGTGCCACAACCAGCTACGCCACCAAAAGCTATCCTTGTATCAATCCAAATTCTATTGTCGAAGTCTTTAATAGTCAGATATCTCCATTGGGACATGTGAGTTGGACCCTGTCTATACGCCTTTTTCCAGTCTACTATTGCTAACAATAACAATTTCCCTGTCATTTTCTTGAAGTAAGTTGCAACCACCACGAAATCGTCCCATGAAGTCTTATAATTCTCTTTATCTACAAAGGAATTAACTGAAGGTAAATGTCCATCCTCATTTGGATAATCTAACTCTTCTAATAACTCGTTTGCTTCATCTGAATATGGGTTCTTTCCTTGACATGTCCAATCTTCTGCACTAGTTGTTGGAATATCGTCGTTTGTGTTGGATTCTCCTTTCCGTTCCAGCGCTGCTTTGTTTTTTGGGAAGGAGAGGTCGTTAATCATACGTAACGACCCGTCATTATTCGTTACACTTCCCATCGGGTTAGATCTGAAGAAACCGATCTTGTTGAAAACTTCTTCATGTGTGAATGGACCGAATACCCTACCAGCCTCTCTTTCTTTATATAAATTTGCCATGATTTGATTTTTAACTGCTAATGCTGATTTGTGGTTATCTGGGGTGAACCATCTGAGATTTCCAAGCCGGTGATTCGGTATTCCCTGATCGAAACCTTCTTTCAAGGCTTTAACCACATGTGCCCATTTATCCGTAAGTTTACAGTCTTCTAAGATTAATTCCCATTCTTCTATTTTCATTTCGCACTTGGCCTTTTGTGGCCACCGAGATTCGAAATTTCGTGAATTCACTAACTGTGTATCACCGTCCTTCTCTCTCTCATGCACAGTCGATTGACTTCTCAACTCAGGTGTTACCGCTCCCACTATGCACACCGTGCTGTAGGGTAAATGGCACGACATATCAGTTATTTATGCTTGTATCATTCTTTGCATCAACACATGTGATAAAATGACAATCAGGAGAAGCAACAAGAAAAAGAAACACATCAAGACATAATCATAAGGTAAAAAAAACAGTTTTTTTTTTTTTTTTTTTTTAATCTAGAAAGGAAATGGGTCTAATGAAGCAGAATAACTAGGAATTTAACGGCGTGAGATTGGTGAACAACGATTCTAACTTCAACTCTCCTCACTCTAAGGATAATCACCTATGGTAACAACAAGAAAGTTTCTTTTGTTTATTTTCAAGGAAAAAGTGTGAAATCAATGCATTACACTTGCTTCGTGTTGCCTGCTGCACCTTTCCCTTTTTCTGTACCTCCGCTTGTTGCTACTTGGTTATTTTCTAATAACAATTGTCTAGACGGTCCGCTAAAACTCCCTGGACCTATGGCTGGTCGTTGGAAATGAGTGGAGTTCAAATTTTGATGTTGTACATGATGATTCCCATGAACATACGGGCTAGCGTATCCATTATTAGCCTGATAGAATGAAGACTGGTTATTACTAGCGTGAAAGTTGTTATTAGGGTGATTATATGTAGGGTAGTTTCTCCTTGGTCCGTTATGATGTCCACGATTTGTATGCTGACCTCTATTGTGGTAAGAACCTCTTCCCCCTCTTTCTCCATTTCTCTGACTCCTTGATGGGCCTGCTTGCCAACTGATGTTTTCAAAATGATTCACGCTAGGTAACGGAGTTAGTGCAGAGATCAACCTTCCACCAGTTCCCTCTAGTTTTAGCTCGTTGGGAATGTTCAAGCCGTCCCAGGACTTGTATTCCGGGTATAGTTGTCCATCAATTGGGCTCTTGTTTTGTAACGAATAACCGATTGCGTAGGGATTATCATCATAAAGGTCATCTTTCGCGAATTCTGAATCTATCAAAGCTTGTTTCACCAGTAATTCATTTCTCGTTCCCACGTCTGACATTCTACCATCTGGAAGCCGATGTTCCCAAACATTTTGTCTTTGGGCTAAATCGTACCGGAAAGCAGGAGTCCAACTTCCTTGTCGTTCTAATTGGATTTCTAATACAACTGCTTTATGAGCCATTAATCGTGGGGCTATGGGATGATCTTTCTGATTTGGTAGTTCATTGTACACCGTTTGATGATATTTGACCATCAAATCGAATCGTTTTGACCATTCTGAACTCGTTAGTCTCCATTCACTTGGAACTGCCAATCCTATATAAGGGATTGTGTCTGACCCGCAATTGGATGTCTTCGCCTTCTTTGTAGCCATGAAATTCTTGTCTAACAACAACCATTTTACATTAAAGATCGACACTGGTACGTGCCTATTCTTGTTGATCATTAATTTGTCAAAATATTCAGATAGTTTCGGCATAGTATGAGTTAAGCTAGCTCCCATTGCTATTTCGGTGTTGACTTTTTCTTTCTCTAATTTCGCCTTTTTCTGCGTATGTTGTCCTACTTCTTCATCTCTCTCTATCATCTCGTCTTCTTCTTCTAATTTGTTTTATCACGGATCATAGTCAGCCTTTTGACCAGAATATATATATAGATTTTTTTTTTTTTTGCTTACCGTCACTATCAATATCATATAACATGGGGTCTCGTTCTATCGTCTTATTCTTTTCACACCAAGTCGTATAGCTCTTAGCAAGAAGTTCCACTTTCTTATAATTCCTCTTCTTATAAGCATTTTGTATGTTCGTTATCCATTTTGCTTGTGCTAAGCAAATATCAGGGTTCGGGTCGACATCATCTGTGTCCGGATCTGAACCAATCAAGGGAAATCATATCATCTCGTAAGCAACTACGTAAGATACTTGTTGATGAGCAATCAACACTTCGGATTTCAACCGGAATCAAGCTTTCTCGTAACTAATTTGATTTAGAGACGGATCTTCATCTCTACACTTTATGTCTTCGGATTTCAACCGGAATCTAGCTTTTCTATTCTTCTTTTAGACTTGGATATTTCCATCAATAATCTAAGATAGATTCTTCGGACTTCAACCGGAAACTAGCATAATATTTCAATGAACCTTCGGACTTTAACCGGAAACTACCACATACAGTTATTACTATTCTTGAGAAGGAAATCATACTCACATAGACCTAACAGGTTGTTTCGTAAAACCTGATTGTTTTCATTTCCATCTTCCCTCTCCACATTTGCTATCCCTTCTATTTCACCAATCTGTTCAGTTCTATTCTCGTTCGCTTGTCGTTGAAGATCTGCGTTTCTATTTTCATTGTTTGTAGTTGTTTGTTGTGTTAGTGTATTAGTTGATGATTGACCTGTTACCACGGTATTAGTTAAATTTGGGTCTGTATGATTGGTATTCTCATCATTTCTACTCTGTTCACTAAGCTTCGCATGTTCTTGCGCCTTCTTACTTCTTGTGTTGACTTGTTGTTTCTTCTTGGACGTTGACAAACCTTGTTCAGTATTGTCGGCCGATAAGTTTCGTGGTTCTAATACACTATCTGCAGCCTTCTTGTTGAACTCTTCGATATTCATTTCTAAATATGGAACAATGATTAAGTTTTGGAATGATTAAGATAGATTGAGTTTCTCAGATTTGAATAATAATGATTGACAAAGTTTTTCTTGAGCTCTTTCTTCTGCGCTTATAAGAATAAACTAGGTTTCTGATTCCAATCTAATTATAATGTATGTGAACGTTGATCTTTTGCAATCTTCCTATTCTCTATCTTTATCTCTATAAACTATCTAACTGAAAAAGAAATTTTTGTGATGGGATAAGAAAGCTGTGGTGATTCTTTCTTATCAAAAGTGAGATTGGGAGATAGTGGTAATCGCGAGGACAGAGATTTTCACCTGTCCGTGCGTTCTCTTTGATATCTCTAGCTAGAGATCTCGGGGCCGAATTCTTTCGGGCCTATCATCTTCAGGGCCGCTATCTCCAATCTCTTATGGAACTCTCTGGGTACCGTCGTGCCTTTGGGCACCCATAACATTCAAAGGTAGAGGGCAGCTTCACAGTGCCTGTAGTTTCATCCGCTCTGACAAATGGTGATTCTTCCCCTCTCTGGCTCAGCCTACGCTACTGCAAGGACCCATATGGTCCCAATGGTATACTTTTTTTTATGCATTGCTTTAAGTGCCTCCTGAGCCATAGGCTATCAGGCACTGTAACTGAAAGAGTTCGATGCGGATTGAATAATCTACGCAACACAAGCTATGAAATGCAACCTGGACAGACAGGTGAAATAAGTAAAGCTCTATGTGAACTCGACAAGGTAGACTCGGCGGAAAAGATCATGCTCTTACCTGCGGTGGTGCAGGAAGAATGAAAGAGACTACGTAGAGACGAGTGAGCTGTGTCCAGGCCAATAACAAGTAAGCAATGACTAGAAGGAAAAACTTACTCTGAGTTTAACACGTTCCTAACGGTGAGGAACAAAACTCAGAGCAAGAGAGAGATGAGGTATATAAGACTCAATCAGACACAAGAGAAAAATTTTGAACTACACAACCAGATAACGTGAACTACAACATATTGAGAAACTTCTGAGCCAAAGGAGAACTATCACGGAGAACAAGAAACAACACTTCACAAACATCCCAAAGGGGAGATGATTAAACATAAGCCATGATACTTCTTTGAGTGATAAGTTTCCTTCTGTCTTGAAGCGGACTGTTCTGTACTGAGTCAATTCATCTTGAGGTGATTCTGTCTTCTACATTCTTGAAACCAAACCTTTCTCTTCCTTCACACCATACCTACACTTCTAACTTATTATGTACTTGACCAATTCATGTCTTTTACCACAACAGTAACTAGGGTTAGGGTTAGGGTTATAAGACCCATTCTCAACAACTTGAGACAGGTGTCATATTGTATCCTTGATGAAGCTCTACTCAGAGCGCTCTGAGACCCTCTCAGAGCACTCTGAAACCCTTTCAGAGCGCTCCGAGTACCTCTCGGAGCGGTCTTCATGCACTCAAGAACCTAGGGTGGGCTTGCTAACCTTCAGCGCACTTGGCATGCTGCAGCATCTATGTGTAATAACCCTTGAAGCTCTCATCAAAGTCACTTATTAGTTTCTATCACCAACAACTCACCAGTTGAGACAACCACATCCATCCAGCTCAAAATATTTTCATTCGGTATTGAGAGTTTGTTCTGTGTTGTGTCCAACAAATTTGAATCATTCCCTCCAATCACCCCTTTGACCAGTACTTCTGATGGACTCATTGCGTTGAAACAGCAAGAAGAAACAACCTCAGGATAAGATTATCATGTTCATAGCAAATATATAGGTTATCAAGCTAAGATTCAAGATATTTTCATAAATATTTCCATAACTTCTCCAATGTCACACCATAATCAAATTGAAAATTCAACAATTGGAAAAATGCTCAGTGATTCAAAAAAAGATACATAACACTAGACCTCAGGCGGGCAAGCCCGCCCATATGCTCAACAAAATAAATCTACAACTTGAACTTGTGCACAACATACGTGGATGAAAGTGCAAGTTGCGTAGTCATGCATTCAAAGTTCACAACACTTCAGGCACAAACATAGAAAGCTTCTAACTTTATTCAATTGTTGCTCATGTCAGGCTCCACAAAAACGTGACAGAATCAGGTTTTTGAGGAGTTAAACCTACAGACAGCAATGGCAGCCACTGCTCTTCCCACAGGTAAGTGTCCTGACATTCACCAATATAGCCGCATATCAAATTGAGGACATCCTTAGAAGATAGCTGTAATTGAAGTTGATGAAGAATGATGTCAGAGAAAGTTGGTGATGGTTTTCGAAGAAATTTGGTAAGATGCGGCAAACAGCCCCAAGTAGATTGGAAGCCACAGATAAGCTCCAAACGGGAAACACAACGGGCCGGATCTTGTTGAGCCTTTCTTGGAATGGAGCACCCCACAGCAGACAGCTCTAGACAGCCACTTTTGACTTTGTGAAAAGTCCTTCAAAATTCAATACTCTTCTGTTGCTTTCAAAATATCCACACCCTCAGTGTCAAATGGGACTTGAGAAAAATCAACCAATGTTGTTTTACCAAGCAAGACCTGAGCTGTTGAATGCCTTAGCACAAAGGTTTTTCAGTTCCTGTTTTAAACACTGCTGTCACAAGTTTTTTGTCAAGCTAGGGGCCCAAGCCTGACTATCTCGCCCCTTGAGGCAAACCAAAATTTAGTTTTCATACACTCATTGAAATACTTTGTCACCTCAGAAAAAGAATACCAATTTACCAATAATGCAGAATCAACAAGGGCTCTTGCATCACAATTCAACGGACATATCACTAAAACTGAATTTGGCTTCATATGAAAATCCACAATAAAGTAAAACAAAGCAAAGTTTACAAAAAGTCTTTGGACAGTATAAGAAACATCTAAAAATATGTAACAACTCCAAATGGTTCCTATCGAGCATGAGTTCAACAAGTATCTGAAAGCCCCTCAAGAAGATGAGCAGTGTGATGTCCTTCACTACTGGAGCTTGAATCAGTGTCACTGGCTGAATCTAGTGCATATGGCCAAGGCAATGTTGGCTGTGCCTGCCACTAGTGCACCATCTGAGCGGTGTTTCTCTAGTGCTTCAAGAGTAATGAGTGACCATCGGGCTTCATTCACTACCCAACATCTTGAGGCCCAAGTGTGCCTCAAAAGCTGGTCCCGCCAGCTCTCCTAAGTTTTTTATTTCTTTCTTGGTAGCTATTTTACATCTAGTAGCTCACAAGTTTTATACAAGTAGCTTTTAAGAACTTATATCATTCTATATCTAATAGCTCACAAGTTACACACATTGTTTCTAAGTGATTGATACCTTTGTATTTGATTTAGATACTGATAGTGATGATCTATTTTGTTTTTTTGAACCTAAAATCTATGCTTCTGCCCGCTTTTTCCGTGCCCAAAATGAGCCCCTCTCCACCTAGCCCAACGCCCTACATTATGGGGCACGCCCTGGTGGGCCCTGCCTAGATTCTGGATGGCTTTGGGCCTTGACGGGGCCGGGCAAACCCCAGCGGCCGGCCACGAAGTTACGGGGCCGGGTCATAGCCCTGACATGAATTAGTCCCTCTTGAAGGATGAGCTACCAGGAGTTGCTGGATTGAGTCACATTATGACTCTTGCAACTTGTGAAGGACCGGCTCCTCAAGCTGGAAAGTTCATCTAATAAATGCTATCAATCTACTCTAACAATCAAAATTGCAACTTCTGCAATGTGAAACTTGACGTGCTGAGACCGAGTGAGAGCAGCACTCAATTCTGTCCAATCGGATTTCTATAGCTGAGCGCACAGGACAGCAGATAACTCCGCTTGATGGAGATATCTTGAGGGTACTTAGCTGAACAGCCCCGGTTTTAGGAGAAAGCTCGATCTCGCCTGCTCGTACGTTCAAAGACAGGCCTTTGGGTATGTCAGAGTATCAAGCTCATTCAATGCCGCTTTTTCAATCATATGTAAACCCCTGATACACAATAAAAACAGGTTCATGTAGGGACTCGCAGCAAAGTTGTCTTAGAAACAAGTTCTTCTGAGATTGGCGTCTTTCGGGAGCGATCCTAACGATAACTCTAGTCGATTCGGATTGAAATTCGGTTTTTTTACATGAATTTATTGGTGAGTAAAGTTTGGAAGTAGGAGGAAGTAAGAAAGCCAACAGAGCCAAATGTGTGGTGTTTTGACGAAGCTACGGGCTGGACATTTGCCATCGAACTACACTGCAAATCAGAATAGTCTCTTGAGGAGGGTGCCTTCTTAACCAGTAAAGAATTTGAGCTTCTACCAAATCGAGTCCTAATCTCCCGAGATGGGCTGGACACAGGCGAGGTGGTCTATTGTTCGTTCAATAATCGGAATCCTTTGATCTGGGGAATAGCAGGATGGCATTAGCTATGCACAAGGCTCAACGGAATTGTGTGGTCTAGAACTTGGAGATAATGGGGCCTTGTCGAATATATTTGAGAGTTTGAAGGCAAGTCCTTCTCTGATGAGAGAGCACATAGAACATAACCAGCGAGACTTGTACTCACCCTTCCATCAGGAATTTGGTCGAGAACCTTTTGGGCAAGGTGAGCACATTGCTCGTAAGAGTTGACTCCCTCTGTACGATAACATTCCGAAAGCTTTTCTCGATTGATCCGCATCTCCATCACTCGGATCCAGTCCTCTCGTATCTTGGCTTCACGGGCTTCTTGGAGCTCTGTGAAAGACGGACCACATCGAAGCATCAATCTAGAGATCCAATCACATTGAAGTATCGAAAGAAAAGCATACTTAGTGCTTCGTCAAGTGTAAGTCGCATTGTTGATAAGATTGATTTTGGTCACTTGATGTCTGGTGGAGTTGGTGGCGATTGACGCAGACATTGTGGAAAGAACCGTAGCGAGTGTCAGCCGCACCTGTCACGCACTTGACGCTCATCGCTGACATCTGTAAAGCACTGAAGATCATGCGGTGGGCGCGGCGCGTTTGGCGCGCCCAGGTAGCGCCTGGAGCGGGCGCGCCCGGGAGCGCCCGCAAAGCTCATTTTGGGGGTGGGCGCGCCCAGGGTACTATCTTGTCATCGGAAGGTGTTGGAACCTGTAAAAAAGCCCATCACACATATTCCCACCTTCCATATTCTAAAAAAAACCTCGAAGGCCGCTCATCTTCCACATCAAAGTTCAGGATCAACAAACTTCATTTCAACATGCCGATTGAAGTTCCTGTATCGGCATCATGGATCAAACCACCTAGCAAAAGCTGTACCAGATGGACTGGTTTCCAAGCTTTAGACGAACGTAATAACGGACGACGACTTGCTAAGTGCATGAGCTGCAACTTAGTGATGGACGGAAAGCCAGCCAAACTTTATCTTCATATCACCCAAGACTGCAAGTCCGTCTCGGCCTCCGACAAATCGGCATATGAGGAACTTGAGCTAGTCCGAACTGGAAAAGACACACCCTCAACAGCCGATATGAACAATCAAAGCCGCGAGATGTCTGAAACTTCAGACACCTCTTTGATCAAGCGACCCAAGATTCAGCACGACTTCAGTCTGTTCTTCAAGCATCGTAAACCAGATAAAGTCCAAGAAACTTATGAACTTTTGCTCAAAGCTTTGATTACTGGCCATGTGCCCTTTCGGTTCCTTCAAAATCCGTCTTTCCAAGCTTTTCAACAAAGTATCTCGATTACACCATACACTCCTGCCTCCCGATTCATCATGATGGATACGGTTCTTCCTCGACTTCATGCTGCGTATTCGGTCAAAACCAAGGCTGAACTCAAGCAACAAACCAATCTCACCATCTCGCTTGATGGATGGTCTGACTGCTCACGCAACAGTGTCTATGCTCTCCTCCTCCTTCGTGGTACAAGTTTCAAAAAATTGATCGATGTATTAGATCTTGATGATGTTTGACACACCTCTGAAAACATCTTGGTGGCTTTGAAAGACGTCCTCGATGGACAAGGTGTCACCTGGGAACAAATTGGTGCCATTGTCACCGATTCTCCTAGCTCAATGATCAAATTACGTGTGGGTTTCAAATGTCCCTTTATTTATACATTAACATTTCCAACTGACAATGTTTTCTTTACAGAAAATGGTGAACACCGAGTTCAATCATGTTATTCCATTGGCATGTTGCTTACATGTATTCAATCTCATTGCAAAAAAGGTGGTTGCACATGTGGATATGAAAGGAACGGTCGAAATCGATCGAGCACTAGTTAACTTTTTCAGCTCGTCAAGCTTTTGGAGTCACAAGTTGTTGAAATGGCGAAAAAAAGAGGGTGTTGCTCATGGTCTTTGTACATTCTGTGAATCTAGGTGGTATTCAATGGCTAAAGTTGCAATGTCCGTGGAAAGCCACGAAAAAGGATTTCAAAGCTGTCTTGCGATGTTAAGGGACAAATCGGTACCGACTTCGAACATCAACAAAAACATCATCATTGCCATTGAAAATCGCGATCATTTTACCTCAAACTCAATCCTGGTTAAGCTTCTTCGACCTATTGTGAATGCTATCGGCCAATTAGAAAAAGCAAACACCTCAGTTGGAGATATTTGGAAGGAGATCGGTACTGTCTATCAGCAACTTCTAGCGATTGATCTTTCCAGCTATCCACAATTCGAACCCTTCAAAGCTCACTGCTTGCAAGTCTTACACGAGCATGCCAAACTCTTCAACGAACCAATATATATGGTTGGATTCTTCTTAAACCCTATGTTTCGTCAAGTTGCTGTTTCAAAGGCCTTTACAATCGATGATATAATCAAGATGATCATATCTTTAGCAAAATCCTGGAACTACAAGAAGGCTGATGCCTTAAGCCTTCGTGAGCAAGTGTTACACTACTTCAGCGGTGTTGGAATATTTCGTGTTTCAACAAAACGTAAGTGTATCTATTTTTCTTTGTAATATTTCTATTAACTGATTTGTTTGACACTACAGTTAACCACCCAATCGACTTCTGGCTTGCTCTTCCAACAACTCCACAAACCTTTCAACTCAAAACCTTTGCGATCCGAGTGAACGAGCTTGTTGCCCATGCTGTAGGCGTTGAAAGCATATTCTCGATGATGGGTGCCACCAAAACTAAAAATCACCATTCCATGAAGATATCTACTTTAAAGATGATCTCACAAATCGAGCTCAGTGTGAAGGATGAGCACGCCGCTGCTAAAGTCTATCAAAAAGATGTCGAGAAAAGCAAGAACAACGATGACGACACTCACGATGGAGCGATCTTCACAGGAATTGATGATTTACAAGAATTTGAGCAAGGAGTCTTTGCCCTTCATGCTTTGGCTGAAGAGGAAGACGATGAAACTCGTGACCACTGGGGATTCATTGATACCCTTTTTGATTTCACTAACTTCACTCGCAATCCAACCATAGACTCGATTAATAAAGATACCTCTAACACTCAAGGAGAGAGCGATAACGAGTCATGGGACATGGATGATATATGTATTTGACTACTCCAATAGTCTTTATATTTTGTTATATTTCATTTTATTTGTCTCGCGCCTCAGCCAAACTGCTAGTTACTTTTTTTTGTCTTATTAGGGTGTTTTCCTACTTGTCTGACAACTTTTGCGACCCCAGCCAAACCCCTGATAGTTGTTTTTTGGTTCAATACATGTTTTTTTCTCGCTCCTCTGGCGCCTTTCGCGCCCCCAGCCAAACCGGGCGCGCCCAGCCTGTACAGACGCGCCTCGGGCGCTCCCTTTTTGAAAAGTCGCGCCCACCGCGTGAACTGAAGAGTCAAGACAACCCCTGACGCCAGCCTAACCTAACTAAGTCCCTCTCGGACGAATGAGTAGTTGAGAGAGGGACTTATACAGCCCTTTGCAGAATTGATGACTTTGAAAAAAGAGAAAACGCTTGAGTTTTCAAAAAAACCTGCGAGTTTTTTTCAAAAACTCGTTGAGTTTTTCAAAAACTGAGCGAGCTCTTTCTCTTTTAGACTTACTGAGCCAGGTTTCCAAAAAAAACTCACTGACTTTTTGAAAAACTCAGCATCTTTTTGACAAAACTCAAGGTTTTTATTTGAAAACTCGAGGTTTTTTTTTCTTCAAAGTCATCAATTATGCAAAGGGCTGTAGCTTATCCACGAAATTTGGCGTGTGAGCCTGTGGACCTTTGGCTGGAGCATTTTCAAACTAGCACACTGCATTATCTT